TAGATGATCTTTAAGGTCCCTTCCAACCAAGCCATTCTTGTGAATGTTTTTAACAACTTCATTTTTATATTCCCTATTAATTCAATCAAAGCTTTTCTCTCTGTTCTTCAGAGAACAGAGACATAGTAATTAATAATAATAATTAATAGATTAATCCTGTTAAATCAGGATAGATTTAACACACTAAAAGTGAAATCAACAATGTATTTTATTGCATTTTTTATTTGCTCCTAGTTTAACCTTATGGATATTGCTTAGAATAACATGCCAAAATCAGTTTTTTATAAATAAGTATTATCAGATTAGCTTCAGACATTGTTATTCATGGTTTAGTTTTCTCTTATCTGTTTATTTAGAGACAGTGAATTATGTATGTTGCCCTCTTAGAGGATAGAAGGTATTTTAGGCAGAAGACACTGCAAACCCCTACAGTTATAAATTAGATCACATGTGATTTGAAATCTGTTTAAAGCAGACAAATATTTCAGAGACCATTCAAATGGCACGTGCACAGTGTATATTGTACAGAACTGGGGTCATGAAGTTACTAATAAATCACATGCAGAACAAAAGTAGCAGCAGCGTATTTTCCCACATCATAGCTGACATGTTGTCTTCATAAAGCTGCTGAAGTTTTAAGGAAGCTGCATGAGTTATGCACTTTCTCACCAGCAGAAAGTGCAGTAGGTGCAATACCTCATGAACAGTCCTGCCTGGTGTTTGGGAGAGTGGGAATGCAGTTCTGAAATTGTAAACAGCTGCTGTGCTTTGCTTACCCTGCTTCCTTCATTACAGCTTGGCGAACTCATTCCCGCTGCTGTACCTTAGTCCTCTGCCTATGTTTGGGTTTCTGCTGGTGGTTCCACATTCTGCATGCTTTCCTCAGAGTGGAGCGATGTGCTTCCCCATAAGTGCTAAAGATTATGGGTCAGCCTCCTGCAGGCTCTGTGTTCCTGAGAAATGGGCTCTTTCTGTTGGTGGTAACTCATGCTTTGATGTCATTGTTCTGAATTGTTCTTCATGTTGTAGTATTGAGTTAAAATGTACTCCCGTAAGAGTTAGCTTTTCATATTGGGCTGGAAACTCTTCACCTTTGTCTAGCAATTTGTTTTATTATAACCAATGGCTTTTAATTGTACCTCCCATAATGAAGAGCTGACTTAATACTCTGTGCTAATCTTGTTATGACTTTAAAAAGGTAAGTAATTTCTCTAACAATTCCTAACAGTCATGGTAGAGTGTTAAAGGGTTTCTCAGTTTTCTTTTTCCATTATTTTTCACATGAATTTTTCACTCGAAGCATGAACTTTTCTTTGTGTCTTTTTCTATTTTTCTTGAAAAAAAATTCAGACTGATTTTTATTTGCAGCAAAACATATTATGTAAATTTAAATTAATCCAATTTAGTACAGCCACTGTTTGGTTTTTTTTTTTTTTCAGACCAATCATGACCAATAGATAGAACTTGTCAGCAGGACTCTTTATTTTTACCATTCTGTTTATTTATTTTTGAGTACTCTGTTTCACATTCTATTTACTACTTCAGCTTATGGGAGAAAGCTTACTCTGCATTTCAGCATGATGAAGTTACATTTTCAAGAACATACAATCCAATTTGTTTAAAATACAGAGTAATGTGAACTGAATGCTTTGGGTTTGGTTACATTCTGTCTGAACTATGCAGGGGAATGGTACTGGCTGGTAGCCCAATGTATCTTCTGCCAAGATAGATTGTGAGCCAAGAGGCTGTAGAATGGACGAACAATAAGTCTATACTTTCCCTGTGAAAGAAAAGACAGCCATAGGTTGCTCTTTCTGTAACTACCTGTGAATGAGAAGAATTACAGTAAATTCTCCCAGTAATAATTCTCCCTGGTTAGTCATGGTACTATATGCAATATAGCATGGATTCCTCAGTTAACAATAGCTGTGAAAAGAATACAGATTTTTTGTAAATGTCACAAATAACGAAGTAGTAAAACATACAGATAATGAATATTTTAAAAGGCACTTAAAGCACATGACCCCGTTTATAAAAGCTCCATTGCTGCCAAAACTGTATGTGTTAGGGAACTGGTGGGTTTTACTAAAAAACATTTTACTGGAGTTTTGATTTAAAATAACATTAAGGATAAGAATGTGCAATTCATATTAAACAGAAGTATTATGTAATAACTAATTTTGATGTCAGTTATGTTAAAACATGGTTTGTATTCTGCAGCTGTGAGCATAGGTTGGGAAACGATCAAGTCTAGCTGATCAAGCCTTTTATTTTATTATCATGGATTCCTCTTCCACAGCTGCTTTTAAAATTTGTGGGAAGCAAATTATTTCTCATACTGCATATGTTGCCCATCAGGTGAGTGATAACATGGAAACTTTAGGCTGGGTGTAAGAAATCAAAAAGTAAATATGAAGTCCTCTGTGTGCACAGAATTAAAAAAATGACCTGTGAGAGGCTGTGTGTGAAGCCAGCTGTCTTTTGTTACCATTGTCATTTGGACATTTTAAGAGCAAAACTTTGTCAGCACGTTTTTTATATTAGAAGATTTGATCTGCAAATCTCAGCTGCTCTGTTCATTATAAATCTCTTGTTTTTGTCCATACACTAGCTCCACTATAGGTTGGAAGGGCTTAAAGATGAACTGAGGAGGAATAGAGGCTACAACTCGAGAGTAACTATTACTGCTCAAAGGAGCTGTTTTCCATTCGCAAACATTGCTTTGCGCTATGGGTTTGGGCTCCTTCTGTTCCTCCACTTTGTTGAAAGACTCTCTCTTGACTTCCATTTTACTTCTTTAGCACTGTCTTTGTCTGCTAACATTTTTCCTCCTTCTCTAGTAGCTTTTATCTGTGTCCTTTGGATCACATATTTTACTTAGTTTGTTTTAGTAGATTGTTTCAAATGTTTGTGTTTTGTATTTTTGGTTTTTTTGCCTTTTTCTTTAGGACTGTGTTATCTCACTGAATTTCATTCCACAGTTGCTGAATTGCTTAATTATTTTGCAGCAGGTCCATTCCTTATTTTCTCTTTTCATGTTTTTCAGTGAGAAATACGAGAGCCTCTTCCATTTTAAACAGTATTCTTACACACATAGGCCCATGTCTCCTTTTGCATACACCATCTTCTGCCTTGCCACATCCATCCTGCTTCTCTCTCCCTCCCTCTCAAACTGTGCTTCTCTTTCTTTTGTGTTTTCTTTCCTGCCATTATACCACCTTTTTGGTCCAGAATTGTCCTTTGGTAAATTATAGGTAAATAATTACTTCTTGCAAAGAGAGTTCATTTTATGCCTTTGAAATCTGGTAAAACAACTCTGGGCCAAATTTGGGCATCATTAATCTTTTGTTTGCAGTTTTCTTGTACAGTATTTTTGGTGGGAAGTGGGGAGGGTGTGGGGCTTTTCTGTTTGTTTTTGTTAAACAAGAGTTTTTTTCAGGGAAGGACTCCATAACCCACTCTAAGTTGCAACATTACTTTCCATAAGTTATTCCATTACAATAAGTAGATTGTGTTGCGCTGTAGAATCCAATTTTTTATGTGACTATCTATCTGGGGCAAGCTGCTGTGGAACAGAAGAAAGAGGTTTAGAAGCTGGGGCACCATTTGTTTCAGCCTTAAATGGTTGTTCCTTTCTGAAGACAGCTTTTGAGGGGTTGGGGGTTTATCATTCTTCATCCATTGTTAGATAATACATATTCACTTTCTAGGCAATTTTTCTTTAACTGCAAGTCCAGAGTGAGGTCTGAAAGATAATCTGGATTCACTCCTTTGCTTTTGCAGCAGAGACAGATGTTCTGCTGGGAAATTAAACCCTCAGCATCACCTGTGCTATTCCACTTCTTTCACTACATGTACACACTTCTACTTTATTAGTATTCTCATTGAAATTTAAAAGACCTTTGTCAATAAAGTAAAAAAGAGAAGGATTCAGTTCTTGCTATCTTAGAGGTTTGTCTTCCTGTGAAGTTTACTTTAGCTGGGGTTTTGTCCACGCAAAATGCTTTCTGTTCAAGTGCTGCCAGGTCAGTCATCTGGCCTGACAGTAGTCCATCTGAAAACTTGCAACTTCAGGGTTATTATACATGATGCTATCTTTCAAACTTGAGAAGAATTAAAAATTTAATCTGTGTTGTGTTTACAGGGCTGATAGTCTTTAAAAAAAAGGAAAAAAAAAAAAACCCGACATTTTTTAAATCTCCATAGTAAACAGAAGTGTAAATATCCAGTGTTACTAGAATATTAGACCAATATGAATTGCCCAATTTCCTTGCAGTCAGACTAATTTATTTGGAATAGCACAGTGTCCAAAGCATCAAAGAAGAGGGGTTGTTGAGAAACCATGTCATTCTCACACAGTTACTTTTTAAAGTAGAATTCCACTACAAAATTCTTAGTGAACATCTTTTAACCAAAGAGGAACAGCCGAGTAAATTTATCAGCTCCATCCAGGAGCCATTTAGACAGCCATTGTGTGTTGCTTATACAATTGTGAAGATTTCTTATTAAACATTTGCAGAATCAACTTTATTGAAACTAAATATTTTAAAATCTCAATACCTGAAAATATCAGCAATAGAATTTTAAATCAGGTCATATACTTATATACTTTTGTTAGTGTTCTGTCTAATCATCAAAGAGGACCTTGATTCAGTGCTAGTGTAATTACAGCTGTATAAGAAAATGTGTATTTTCTGTTGAAAACTGATGCTTAACACATAATTTTAAGCACTGTTCTTTGATTTTTCTCACTTACTGTCCTTAGGCCATCTTGTTTCTTATGGAAGGGGTGTGGAATCAAATTGCTTGTATCAGATTCTGACCATCAGCTTAAATATACCCTTCTGCTTAAATACATTTATCTCATGCAAAATATGTAAGAATGTTGCTGAAAATATGTATAGCCTCTGTCTTAGATCCCAGGAGCTTGCCCATTTTATCTCTGTATTTTGCATTCTTGTTAACTTCTGTAGCTCATAGACTCTGTGCTCTCTCTGCAGGTCCAATCTAGGTGCAGCAGCAAGGAGAACATCCTCAGAGCAAGTAAGTGCAGAAACTTCTTAGCTCTGTTCAGAGAAACTAGGACTGCTCAGAAGACAGCAAATGATAGTCAGATCAGAGGTGGGACTAAGTGGGTTTGCAGCAGAAATTTAGTAACTTAAGACAGTGAAATCCAGTCCAAAGGTAAAACTGTAAATAGATCATAGTGTTCATGTATTAATGGAGAGTCACCTTTTAATTTATTCTTCCAATTTGTATTTCTAATGACATGGAAGTCTGTGTTGTTTGTGATGTTTTGTTGTAAATGATCATGTGTGTGCAGGTTTTATGGGCAAGAATTAACACTCAAAGACAATGAAAATGGAGATTCTCTGCTTGAATATATATATTGGTTTTACTTTCATACTTGAACATGAATTTGAATGTTGTATTGCATAGAACCAAACCAAAAAATGCAAAGGTTAAGAGTTCACATTGGATCCAAATGCTGTCTAGTTTAATTTGCAGAATTCTTTTTCTTTGTGTTGTGGGAATCTTTTCTAGTCTAAAATTTGATCCACCATATGTGTGTGTATATGTATAATGACAGGACTAGAAAGATGTTTTGGTGGTAAAAGAGCAGGCTGTCAAGAATTTTCTACCTTATGCAACCAATTGAATTAGCTGCTTCAAAGCTAGAGGATTAGTCTGTCGTACAAAATGCAGCTTAATGTAAGTAGTTATTTTTAGAGCTATCTGACATTTCACATTAGTGAAAGATAACTTGGTGAAGTCTGAGCAGTTGTTTAATGTCATTTGCTTATAATTAAAGTACCATTCAGTAGTTTTACAATTTAAAAAAAAAATTTGTTTGTCTCTGGGTCTATTTAAATCTGTGATACCTCTAACAGAAGTGTTAGCATTTGTTTGTAGGAAGAAATGGAAGAGAGAAAGGTTAGTAGTTACACCAACATCCTTCTTCCTTTCTTCATAAAGGCTATTCATGCTTTAGGTTTAACACCTAAAGGGGCTCTATTTTCTTGACTTTTCTTGCAGAAATAATGGGTGTTACTTTTGGTGTTGGAAAAAAGATGTCAGAGATTAGGGAATTTTATATATTTCCAGAAAGTCTATGTTGGAGAATGCATTTCTCAGAAGATTTGACAGAACCTTTGACTTAAGCAAATGACATGCATTAGGGACAGACTTGCAAATCTGAAGATTGTTCTCTGGGGACCAGTCAAAGCATTCAAAACCTGTGAATTCTATCACTTTTTAAGGTTTAAAGAGGTGAAATGTGAGTTCCTGAAGTAGCTAACAGTGAGTTTTAAGTAGCAGTGAAATTACTGCTAGAAACAGTAAAAGCATCTAGTGGCAATAGCATAAAGGTTGTTCACTGCCACACAATTCCCTCAGCTTTCATTGCTGTGACATGTTTTTTCTTAGCATTTTCCTTAATATTTTCCAACTTAAAACATCAGGAAAATGTTAAAAACATTTTGTATTGTGTGGAAGCTGCTGGACTTTCAGAAATTACAGTGCTGCTAAAGCAGGGTTTCTTTCTCTATGCAGAGGCGGGTGTGGGAAGTTTGACTGTATTTCACAAATGCTTCCCTTTTCCTCTTTAATGATGTTGTCAACAAAAAAAAGGCATGATAACTGGAAATGTAAGCTTGCTAGGGAGATCCCCGTTGTTAAAACCAGGAATGCAGTTTTTCCATGCTACACTTTTATCTTACAATAGTTCAATTTGGATCATTTGTCCCTAGTTTTCTTATGAGAAAGTTAGGTTTAAGAGTTTGCAAAGTCTTAATATAGTTAGAAAGTGTCTCATCAGGTGTTTCTCTCTTACTCAGAATGCCAACTGCTATCTTAAGGAAAAGAATTAAGTCAATTAAAAATTATCTCTGCTTGACAAATTCACAGTGCCTGCTTTTTTCTTCATGCCATCTTCTAAATATGTACAAAGAGATTGTTCAAATAATTTCTTCCAGAATCATTCCTGGAAGAATTAGGTGGGCAGTTTTACTTGTCTCTACTTCTTCCTCTGAAAGGTAGTTATTGTGTTAATAGCAAAAAATAATTAGTGAACAATGTCTCACTGAAAAGGTAAGCATGTGTTAGTGCTGAAGAAGTATTGTATATATAGATTAATTAAGAAACCTCCTCTTCTGAAGGAAGACTTCAGAATTAGACTGCGTGATTGTTGTGCTATTTTTTACTTGCTTTTTATTAGAAGACTACACTTGAAGCAGTAATCTGGTTTTTTTTTTCAGAATCTGAAGGCATGTGCAGCAACAAATGAGATATTTATGTAGTGACTGCAAAGCCAAATCATGTCATTAAAAATTAGTTTCTATTATTTAATGCTTTCTGTTCTGTAATTTATGTTACTCAGGAATATCATTACATATCACACATAGAACATCATCCACTTTGGCTTTCATAAATACCTTCTTGTTCTAGGTAAATCCTTTCAAGGTACTCTGCAATTGTAGTTGTGTGAATCCTTCAGTTTATATCTGTTGCTCTTGTTTATGTATTCCTGCAATAGTTCTCTCTTCAGTTGCTTATCTTCATTTGCAAAATCCTTCAAAGCTTGTTGTCCCCTTGTTTAATCTCTCAATAAGTATCATGAAATTAAACACACTGTTGGTTTCATTTTCAAACAACTTCTGTCATATTTTCTCCCTACCTGTCCCTCACACTTGGGAAAAGCAAGCCTTCTGAGGCTGTCCTACTGCCTTCACTCCAGTCATATATGTAAACAACACTTTGCTATGGTGATGACAAAATCTTGACAACGGGTAGGATGCCCACTAGCTGGAGATGCTGTCTGCTGCCTTGACTGCCCAGTGATTTCATTGTGCTCTCTATACCTTCCTTTCAAACCTTTGGACTCCCATCTCACTCTTGGACTGTAGGCTCACTGACACAGTGTCCACTGCTGTGCTTTATCTGTGCATGGCACAGAGCGTGTTAAGATGTGTTTGTGCAGAACAGAATGGAGTGAATTGTCCTGAGTTGATAGAACTGAATTAGTCTCAGATTATCATCCTCGGTGTAAAATGCTGCATCATCTGGAAGGGCTTCTGTTGTCCAGTGACTGTGAACCAGTCTTTTCATGCTCATCAAGACTTCTGGTATGTTCTTCACTACAGATAAGGATATACACTCTCTTGATTCTAGCTGAATACAGTGTCTTCCCAGGGCCAGACCTGAAAGCTCAATAGTGATAACTGACTAATTTAATTTGCTCCAAAGTGCTGATTAGTTTCAGTAAAATGGTTTAAATGAACATCACTACATGAATCTGCTCACTGTAGCCCACATGAAGTTGTTCTTTCTCATTGCAGGTCACAGTGCTGTTGACATTACCAAGGTAGCAAGAAGACATCGCATGTCTCCATTCCCATTGACATCCATGGACAAGGCCTTCATCACAGTTCTGGAGATGACCCCAGTGCTTGGAACAGAAATCATCAATTACAGAGGTATATTAAATTGGATTCTTTGTGAGCATGAGGGTGATTACTTCCCTATTCGGCAACCTTTCTGCTCTTTTATTAATGTTGTGAGGTGTCTGAAACAGTGCTTTCTCCAGGAGAAACTGCTTTAGGAAATACCTGTAATACAGGAAACCTTTCAAAGTTAGGAGAATGTCAGTTAAATTCAGTGGTGCTCCCTGAAGGAGTCTGTAATGGAACACTAATAAAATACATGAATCAGTTTTCTTCCTGTTTGTATTATATGCAGCAAACATATTATCCTCAACCTGAATGTACTTCAGTGGACTTATGTAGATGCCAAGTAGCTGAAATCTTTACTGTGATTGGTTCCCTCTGTTGTCTCACTGTGGAAGATTCTCACTAAGCCCCTTTCCCATCTGAGATTAATGATCAAAGCAAAGTGATTATTGATTCCAGATCACTTTTTTCCATGTCTATATCTTTAACAGTTCATCTCAGTCTCTTTTTACAAGTTCTAGTTAGCCTGCTAGTCATTCCAGAATTTTCCTCTTCTTCTCATAAATGCAATTCCTTCTCTATTCTAACACTACATGATCGTCTTCTGAAATTACTTCCTTTTAATGTTTGATCTATCCAAACTTTGTAATTAAAGAGTAACTGGTTTTGATTTATACAGTGAGGTTGTCTTCAAAAGCACCAAACAGCAAGCAAAGTATCAGACTTTGTTACTGTATCTATACTCATGAATAAGTAGGGATAGATGAATTGATTTGCTGGCCCTAAGAGGAATTAGCAGGCATCTCTCATGTTTATTCAGGTAAACTGTCCTCCTTCCTGAAATACTGTATTCATAGTGTCTATTAGGTGCCTCCCTAAGCTTCTGCTATTCCTTACATCAAGCCTGGGAGAATGTTCTTGGCACATAACAAAACCATGACAGGAAATATGCTGACAAGTAAACCTAAACTAGGAAGGGAGGCAGAAGCCTCTTCCAGGGATTCTTCCAGATTGTCCAAAAGTAATGTGGTGAATGAAGAGGTTGTGGAACTATAAACCTCAAAAGCCAAAAACATTTGGGACACTGGTGTGCTACAGACAGTAGAGAGACAAATAATTTCTGAATATTCTGTCTCCTGGCTTGGAAGTTCAAAGTTTTCATGCTCTTCGCCAAATCTTAGTGCTACCAGAAGTCTTCAAGATGTCTTCATATTGACATACTGATTTAGCAGACTGTATGTAATACCACACCTGTGCATTTAGTGACTCCAAGCAGAGTTCAGTGTTCCTCTATGCCTTGGCAGCAGGATTTCTGAGAAAATGCTCCATATCCTGCATTCAGAACAGCACCAATACTGGATCAACAAGGAATATGCATAATACACCCTGCACTTCCATAATGGTGTGCAGATTAGAAGACACTAAGGCATAAATGCCTGGGCAGAACTACTGGGCTTTTTGGGTAGCTGTCAGTTAAACGTCTTTTCTAAGACAGCCCTTTGTGAACAATATGATGAGCTGCAGCATTGGGTACATTTAGTCCAAATCAATGCTACATATGCAACCCTGAACTCCTGAAATAAAGGATGAAATACTGGCATCTGCCTCCCTGATAAGCACATCATGTATTTATTTTGGTATGTCAGATACAGTTAAGGTACCGTCGGATTATTATTCTTCTTTGAATAAAAGAAGTTTTGATTGTAAGTACAGAACGTATCTATTGTTATTTCTGGCACTGTTATTCTGTCAAAAATAATGAACTGTGTCTGCTGAGTCACTTTAGTTTTGACCCTCTTCCCTCTCACCCAAAACACAAGCATTAGATTGATGGTAACATTAGCAGGTTCAGAGACAGATACTTTATTTAATGTTCACATAATTATACCAACAATTCCTTCACATTTTTGCACTGTAGTGCAAAATTTTATCTTGCAATTTATTTTTCAAGTAGTGTACATGTAATTTAGCATGGTACATTTTCCAAGTATATAGTATGACATTTCAGGATTGAGCCTATAGGAGACAGCCTAAAGGACATGTCTGTGTCTGTGATACTGCAAATTCAAGTCTCTTAATCTACAGATACAAATCCCAAGATGGAAATGCATTTTCAGAAGTTCTTAAAGGATCACCATAATGTTATACAGACAAATACGTAGAATTGTTTGTATAGGCGTGTGTGTATGCACACACTTATGTGTTGGATAAAAGACAATTTAATTTTGAAGAATGCAATTAATTAAGAGCCAGTTTTTCAATTAGTTACGGGTTCTTTTTTTTTTTTTTGTTAATATATATCAAATCTCAGAAAATTGTAAAAATTTAGTTCTGGAGGTCTGAAACTGTATTTAGAAAAGCCCTAATGCACTGTGTTTGTTTTCTTCATGATTTTGTGAATTTGAGTTACAACTGAGCTTCTGAAAACTATCTTTCAGGAGCACAGTTTCTCTCCAAGGAAAGTGAAATGTGCAAAATTCTAGGAGTGGTAATTGCCTAATTAATTTAGCCTGATTTAGTTAAAAATAAACATATTTTATAGCATTCATCCTCATAAATAAAGCTGCTGAATGTTATTCTGTACAAATACCCAGTACAATCCCGATTTTATTCTTGATTAGGCAAGGCGGGCTGTAGTCTCACAGATCTATCCATTCTCTCCTAACTTAAGGGAGAGGATTGTTAAAGTTATCTTTTGAAACATGACTTTCATGCTGGTGTGTTGCTCAGTGACCATACAGATCATTTAACCTCTTTCATATTTTTAAAAAATGGACTGTCCTAAAGCATTTTATGGAAGTGTCATAAACCCAAGGCATCTGAAGCATATTTCTCACCTGCCATCGTCGATATCTGGTATGAAGCCACCAGTTAGGCTTTTATTCCAAATAAATGCAGTTACCTGAGTATAGCTCTGTGGACACATAAGGTTAAGTTTTTAGACAACATGATTATGATTATTCTTCTGGAACTAAGAAGATGCAGAAGTTTAATTAATAATAAAATTATAATGCAGAAGCAATCTACATTTTATGAGCTTAAGCCAGAGAACAGCACATTTATTCTTGTCTAATCCAAGAGCCTAACTGATTGGTTTGGTAGCATTGACTTTTCATATCACACTGAAGTGCTACCAGGGCAGTATTTACAAAATCCATCACTTCCTAGTACAAGATGTCTTATTGCTGTGCCCCAGAGAAATCAAAGCTCTTCACGGAACTGTTCCAGGTTTAACACCGAAGCTTAGCAAATACCCACATTTGAAAAGTGACTTTAATGTAATTCTCCATTTTGTTTCAGAAAGCTATGAGCATCACAAGGAGCAGTTTGATGAATTAAAATAATTCAGAACATCTTTCTGAATTACAATTAATCAAAATAGGGTCAAACTGTATTTTTAGAATATTTTCTTAAAAGAGAGTGCAGAGGTACTCAAGATTGTCCTCTAGTTGCTGACTTGCTTCATTTTAAATGCCTAAGGCTGCTTCAGCAAATAATTCTTAAATTTTTCTTCTTGTAATGAAACTCATTCCCATTACTGGCTAGCCATTTATTCCTTTCAAATATTGCATGGCAATATGCCAAGAACATACTGTTCAACTTTGCCCTAATTGGTGTGATTTTGCATGCAGACAAGAAGCAAAATGAAGGCACAACACGCCTGCTAAAATTGGAAATATCACTTTTGCATGAGATTTTGTGCATCTATGAACAAAGGGTATTTTTACTAGACCTTTGATAGCTGCCTTTTCTGTGCTGCAATTTAAATGTCTGTGTCTGCATTTTTTTACTCAATATAAGTGTACAAGCTTCTCTGAGCTTTCTAATAACTTCTATATTGTGTATCACAGGCACTGATATGCAGGTTTGCACAGGTGAATTAATTGCCATTACAAAAGTGCTTTTCTAGATGCTTTAACAGGTTTCAGGAGCATTTTCATGGCAATATTTATTTTAGCAACACAGCATGAACAGTAACTTCAGGCTGAAAGTTGATACATACGGATGTGAGCAGAATGTTGTTATAGTTACAATAATTAATTGCTAACTAAGTCACTTTGTGTTAATAAGTAAAATACAATCTTCATTATAATACCACTTCACTGGAGCTGAACATTTTCAAATTGAGTGGGTGAACTTTTTTAACAAAATCTGCCCATTTAGTGTGCAGCTCTAGCTCTTCTGCCTTCCCAGTCGATCCGGACCACGCAGATTTCCCTGTCTGTAAAATAAGAAACACACTTTGTGCACTTCTCTTTTTTGGCATGTCTCAAAGATCATAATCTCTAAAGCACATATCCATGGAAATTCTCCTGGCAGAAATCCTCTCACTCCATCACACTTGCAGTTGGATATTGCCTTCAAGTGCCACAATGCACCCTAAGAGCAGGCCTCTATTATGAGCAGGGCTTCCCTTCTTTTACTTAGACATACTGGAATCAAGCCTGTCTCAGTAGTTCTGACCCATGTGTCCCTTCCCAGTACATCTAATCACACATGTAAGAAATCTGCTTTCTCTCTCACACTATATCAAGGGCCAAGTTACATATTTTCCCACTCTGTTCCGTATCATACTAAAAAATAAAGCTCTTGCTGGTGCCATAAAAGTACCAGCCACTTGACTGAGGGTGAAATAATTCATATCAGTCTCTACAGGGAGGCTGAGCCAAATTACAGTTCATCAGCCATAGTTGCTAAGTGAAGAGAGTGTGTTTGAAACAGCTATTAAAATATTTAGAACTGTAACACTGTAAATTTATATAAATAATTCTGACACTTATGTGGACTCACTCTCCATTAAGTAGAAATGCTCTCAGCAATTAGGTGAAGCTAATCTATTGCCAAACTTCTTTGTCAATTTAGAAAACAGGTCCATTGTTAATGTTCTCAATTCATCACCTCTCACTTTCTGTGCACAGGATTTACTTTTGAAATGTCATTTTACAAATTTTTAAAACAGAAATTTAATAAAAATTCAAATAAAGGAAAATAAAGAAAATGCCTATATTCAAGAGATCTTAGGGGAAAAACTTGTCCTGACGAAACAAATACTTGCTTTCTGTCTGGTCCTTAATCAGAGCTATCACCTCTGGGTTTGGATACTTGACATTCAAATCTACTGTAAGCAATTTCACCATAACCAGGAGCACAGACTTAAACAAATCCTTTATCGTTACTTTCAGACTCCAGTCTTTTTTCCTGCATGTAGGGTCAAAAATCTAAAGCCTGAGAGATTTATATGTCCTATACACATACATTTCACCTATAGGAGGGCACAGCTGTTAACTTCATTTCCCCCTTTCATTCGCTGTAATGACACAGAGCATGGTCTTTTCTCTTTTTTCTAGATGGAATGGGGCGAGTCCTTGCTCAAGATGTATATGCAAAAGACAATCTGCCACCATTTCCAGCATCAGTAAAAGATGGTTACGCTGTCAGAGGTAAACACTCACTTTGTGGACATGTAGTGTAGTGTCTGCTACTTTATAACATGTTAATTCACCTGTTTTGGATCCAGCAGGGGTTGTTTTAGTTTAGATTTGATACGGATCGTTGCTGGGGTCACAGTTGCACTGTCTTGAAGGAAGGCTGCAAAGCCAAGCTCAGATCTTTTAAGTGGATACTGGTGTACACAGGCAAATTTACACCCATGTGTGCTCCTAGATGTGCACCTCTGTTGCTTGTGCATTTCTTGGAAACATTTAAAATTCAGGACAATAACAGAACATCTGTTTCTGAATTACGGATTCATCTTCTATTCCTCTGTTGTAGATTTAATGAGGATTGTTTATACATATTTTACTTTGTTGAACCATTACAGATATTGATTACATCAGAGAATTTTTGAAAAACTTACCATCATGTTCTCTTATGGAGACACCTCAAAAGAAGAGGTTCTTACTTCAAAAATACTGTAGCTTTCATACATAAATAAAAGTAGTTGTATGACTGTATTAATTCCAAGCAGCAAATAATTTAATTTCAAGCAGACCTGAATTCACACTCTGCTTTGCTGCTAGGTGCCACATCACTTTGAGCCAGTTGCTTCACTGTGCATCAGTTTTTCCCTTCGTAAAGCAAGAATAATGATGCTTGCCTCATATGTCTATGAAGGAAATTTAAAATATCCAGAGTCAAACATTATACTGGTAGTGATTTAATTGTGGTAGCCATTGAATTGGAATAACACCATGTTGAAATTTGTTCACAATAGCCAACTTTCTTCTAGGGGCATTAAAATATCTTTTTTGTTACTGGCAGTTGAAACCATGGAAAGTAGCTGCCCATGAAATAGACTGCCTGCAGACCCAGGCAATGGATGTAATCCAGTAGCTTCCCCATACATTCAATATAAAAATAAAATTTCAGGTCCACAAGATGAGAGTGCGTGAGAGACAGGCAGACCAAAATGACTAGTAATTTGGTCTAGGGAGTGCATATGTAGCCAGAGAAATACAGGTAAAGTAACACTCCAAAAAGCCTAAGAGAGTGAGCTCTGAGTAGAATGCTGAGTGACAAGGGCCTTGGGATCAAGCCAATGCTCTCTTGCAATCTGATTGCTGCAGGGTAAGGCAAAGAACAAATACAATTTCAGTAAACATGCAGAATGAGCAGAGTGATCATGAATGTCATTTTCAGCAACTTCTGACAGAACCAACACACAAAACCTAATTTTGGTGGTAAATTCAAGTAGAGTAAGACTGAGATATTTGAATACATCCAGAGAACAGCACTAAAGCTCGTGAAAGGGCTGGAAGGAATGTCCTAGGAGGAGCAGCTGAGGACTTTAGGTTGTCTTGTTTGAGGAAAAGTATGTTGAGAGGTGACCTCATGACTCCCTACAGCTCCCTGTGGAGGGGAAGGGCACAGGGTGCCCAGTGACATTTTCTGTGGGAATGGCTGAAAGCTGTGCCAGGGAAAGTTTAACTTTGACATCAGGAAATAGTGCTTTACCAAGAGAGTGGGCAGACACTGGAACAGACTGGAACAGTCTGGAACCCACTAGAGAGTGGGTTGATGCCCCAGGCCTTTCTCTGTGTCAAAGGCAATTGGACAATGCCTTTAATAATTTGCTTTACATTTTGGTTAGCCCAGAATTGATCAGGCAGTTCTATTCTATACTGTTTTGTTCTGTTCTTATTATTCTTGTGAACCTATTATCTTCAGATATGGAAAAAAAAAAAAAAAAGCTTTTCAGCAGAGTTAATATTGACATATTGACTACATTAATGGATACTTCTTACAAAAATATCAGGATTAGCTTTCAGTGGCATAACATGTCTGCCCAAACCCCTATCCTTTTCTCATTTTATATCAGTTGTGTATCATCTATAAACTTTGTCTCTGTATTATTATTAGTGGGGGAATAAAATCTAAGTAGCATTTTATCAGGTTTAAAATAATGTAGCTATTAGGGATTTCTTTCTCTTCCTTTGCTGGATCATACAAGCACTTTTTTTTCAGTGCAGGCCTAACAACTGTTTTCAGTAGCATTATATGCATTATTCAAGGATATCTAGTTGAAGAATCCTTTTCTACTTTTTTGAGTTCACTCTAAAGCTCTTAGATTAGTCTGTTTGATAGGCTTTTAAAGCTAAGTTAATTATTAGTCTTCAAACATGACTAAGTACCATAGATAATGATCTGCAAAGCTGCAGCCAATGCATGGGTACAAAGTGATAAATCATAGACTGAATGGACATCCTTCCTGAAAGTAGTTCTTCTCCATACAAGGTTACCTAGGTGTATATTCAGGGCTCCTGAAATAAAACCCAAGTTATTAAGATAAAGGTTGTCACTGATTAGACTTCATCTCTAGGATATCAAGTTTTGACAGTTACAGATGTAAAATCAATAATAATGCAGATTTAAATGTGATCTTTCTTCAGTTTGTTTGAGCACTCCTGGCAACACGATTGCTGTGCTTGGAAAGGCAGAGCTGCTTGTGCTTCACACATGTTTACACATGGTAAAGCCTATAATGCCACTAATGCAACTTGCTGAAAGACCTTTGATGCAGACAGGAGTTTAAATGTCATTAGTAATTGTGCCTTCATTGTCCCTGTAAAAATGCAGATTTGCTAAATTGGAAGTCCTGAAGACTTGTTAGATCAGTGATCTCGGACTCCTAATTTTCAGTATTGAAATACTGTCATGAACACCCTTAAATCTTTGTTATTAATGTAATTCCTACTAGTCTTCATTTACAAGACCTCATACTGCCCAGAAATTTTCAGTTAAAAATACTATTTATTATAGAACCTGTGTTTTTCAAAATAATAAACACACCTCAAATGGACCTAAAAGGTAAAATGTTTGCAGAACTTCTGTAACCTTAGTCACGAAGAACTGAAGTCACTGAAGAACTGAACATTATATCATCTTTGCTCTTCTCCTGTTCTTTATTTATAATGCCATCATTGTTTTGGTTCAGTGTTTACCATTTATGTTGTCCCTCTCAACAGCTGCTGATGGCCCGGGAGATCGATTCATCATAGGGGAATCCCAGGCTGGTGAGCAGGTGAGCACAATTTCTTTTCCCTTTTTTTAATGTATTTTTCTTCTGTAAGATTTTGCTTTGTATTTTTACAAGCCTTGCTAGTGCTCCAAAATGCAGTAGTCTTGGATGTGGTGTGAAGTAGGACACAGCTGTAGTGACCCTCCCACTATGTGCCTTGGGACATGATTTCAGAAAGTGAGGTAGTACAGTTACATAAGGAGCTAACAAGGATATCCCAAAATACTTCAGAGCATTGTGCTGACATGTCTGATAGGAGTGCATACAGTAACGTTCTGCCCTGGTCCAGTGTTTGAGGACATGAGATTTCTAGTGGCACAACAATTCATAAGCAGAGAAAATAGTGATTTAACCCCCTCTTGCTGACAGATTTTTTAAGGATGTCAGCCCAATAACTGTTTTCATAAGATGCTTCTATTTTTCACACGGATAGCTGCAAAATGAAGTGTATAAATTTTTTTATTAAGCTTTTATAGGTAGGTAACCATCAGAACAGTCTTGAGGAAGTCTGGCAGCAGCCTGGTTTGAGGCTGGTTTGTGAGAAGAATGTTTGTGCACCTTAGCTGATATATGGATTGATTTAAAAGCAGGTTGAGGTGTGACCTGTTTGTGACCTGCTATGCTCTATAAATATTTATTAATAAATGTATTTCATGATTTGTTCTCAAATTCAAGAGCATATTTCATTACATTTCTGTACTCATTCTGGTAATGGGAAAAAAAAATCAGTTATGTTCAACTACTGTTATTCTGTCCATTTAATCATACCTGCCAGCTGTGTTCAGGAAAATATGAGTTAGTCCAAAATGTTTCTCCAGCTATTTCAAGTCCTGATTTATAATTCTGTGTATTGTATGTGAAATGATGGAGAAGGGGATAAGTAACAGGAATACAAGAAATTGATAGTTTTAATGAGGATTTTATAGTGTGTCCATTTTGACTGCTAAACAAAAAAGTCCAAGTAAAACCGACATATTTCAATAGCTGTGTCAGGTTTTAGAAGTATTACCAGTTGCAGGATTATTTGGTTTTTTTAAATGGACTTGAACTGTGACTAAATGTGTAATAGACATTTCATTTGGCTAATCATGATAAGAAGAACTGTAAAAATTATTTTTGCTTTCAGTCCCATCCATCATCATGAATTATACTTTGGTATAATAGACATTTTCTCAGTACTGATATTCATGTGAACTTAGATTAATGGATCAGTTGCACAAAATATGCAAAATTACTTTAAATTCTAAAAAAACCAAAAGCAAATCAATTCAGCAGTTTTTTAGCCTGCCTTATATTTTTAGCCCTCCTGACTGCATTTTCAAGCATTGGTCCAGAATCCAAAAGATACAAAGACAACTATTTTTACAGCTCTTTTTATGATCACTATAAAATAGCAAGAGCCAGCAGAGCAACCTGCTGAATTTTCACTCCTATCACTATTCCCCTGTCATCAATATTATCATTTTGCTAGTTAAATATCCCAGCACACTGTTGCTTTAAAGCAGTACTGTTGAAGTTGTCTCTAATGGGGACTACTTCCCATTAGAGGTCTGAAGTGTTTCAGTGTCCTCATCAGTTCAGCAGGTTTGTACAAAAGATAAAAGGGCAAATGGAAGCTGCTTCCCTCCTACAAAGTTCAAGAGCTCACAAATGTCTCTCAGGGACAGTCTGTCCTCCCAGATTATGGGGAATAGGAAGGCTCTCTGGCAAGGAGCAAAAATTGGGTGGGAAGCAGGCATGCAGAGAGAGACTATTTCTGAAAATACCAGTGGCAAGTTAGAAAAACAAGGCTGTTGACCTCAGAATAATTGGTCAAAGTTTTTTTCTGGGGCAAACACATCTTCAGGTTCATCTCCTTCCCAAGAAATTATTTATAGCCTTGGAAGGCTCCTCAGTCTCATTTCACCCTTCAGTCACTCTCAGCAGCAACATTCTGCTTTTCATGTTTCAGACCAATTAACAGAATGATTCACAGCAGGGAGTTCAAAATAGATTTAGATTTGGCTCCTCCTGTAGGGAAAAAGGTTACATAAATGCTAGTAGCAAGGAAGAAGATGGGACTAGAATTTCAGGGAGGCCATATAGCCAAGTTGGACATTTCTGTATCAATTTTTAATTTGTGTGTTTTCTTATTTCCATCTCCAGATGGTCATGTTTGTGTTAACCCTTTTTCTGTATATCAGGGAAAGCTTTCAGCATTACCTTGCTTTGGGAAGGTTAGGGCACACTTGAGATTACTGGTCATGAGCCATCCACGATGGCCTGTGTGTAACACACTCAGCCATAGGAAAAATGGTTTTCCTTCTGTAGACTTACATAGACCATAGCCTTTCCTACAATGCTTTCTAAAGGTCTTTGTAAGAGGCACTACAACTAACCAGCTACAATGTTAGAATGAAAAGCAGGCATTTTCCACTATTCCATTAACTTGTGCCTTTTTACAGACAGGAGCGTGGATCATTCTAAATGACACAGGAGAGGTGTAATCATGTGCAGGAGAAAATGCCTGAGACGGGGGTTGTGCTTAGTAAATTATTTCTGGGTTTTATTCAGTGACTAAAATTGAGTAGATTATCAGTAATGAATGCAAAGGACAGAAACCAGTATTGCCCCATTGCAGGTAGAAGTGAGATCTCAAAGGCCCTTTGGAAGAGCTTCTGTGAAATTTTTGCACATTAATATGTTTTCCGAGAAGCAATCATTTCTTTATCTCCAAAAAATCTATCATAGAGGAACACAGCCCTGGAGATTCACAAATAAATCTGGTGGTTGACTTTTGTTCATAAAGTTAATCTGATCAAATTCTCAGCAGACAAAAATGAAATTAAATCTATGAGCAACATAACCAGTTCTAAAAGCAATTGTATCATGAATTTGTTTAAATGTATCACATCATTGCATCTCAAAAAATTAACTCATCTAACAATAAACTCCAAAAACATGATTAGTTACAGCACATTTTATCACCGTAGGCTCTGGTTTGTGGCAGTAGTAGACATTTTGTATTCTTTATGATGCAGTTTAATAGGCAGAATTTTTTTATGCAATACATTTTTCCTCTGAAGTTTGTTGTTTAAGCCAGCAATACTTAGTAAGTTCAAGACAATATTACCTATTTGTAATGTACCTTTAGATTATATCTACAATGGCATGCAAAATTCATTATCCAAGGTGTAAGCTTTGCCTTTTGTAACATTTCTTTTCATAAAAATCAAAATTACACACTCAATAGCATTATTTTCCCTTTTAAGCAGCTTTAGTATAAGTGGCAGTGTTTCTGCTATCCATCCACAACTCCTTGAATAGCCTGGGGTGAGGAATAAAATGCCATTTTCTTAAAAGTGTTTTTTTTAATGTCATCTTGTTTAGATACCCACAATATGATAGCATGAATCTTGCCCTAAAAATATACTAACTGTGACATATGGCAGGTGTGGGTTTTATTTATGTTCTTCTCCCAGGATATTAGATTTCCATTACCTGTAGGAAAGGGTTAAGATTCAGTTGTAGGCTCAGTTGTTTCTTGGAATACAAAGGTTGCTGTGATCCTGTGGTAAGCCAGATAAACACCATCCCAGCCTTTTCCTATGGCTTCTGTCCCAAATGTGTGAAATACACACATTTCAAAGTAACACTCACCTTTCAGTGGTTATGACAGGGCTGAAGGAGTAGAAGAATGGGCAAGGCAAACAGCTTTATGCAGCTGAAGTGCTGACCACTGGTCTAGAGTTTGGTCGTGCCTGTCAGCCCCTGACAAAAGTCATGGAGTAAATTCCTGCTGGGCAGGAGCAGGTAACAGTCCTGGGAGGAACTGCCTGCAGCCTGTGGGTTGCTGCCAAATGTCTGCTAATTATAGTTTGAGAAGTCCTGGATGTATTCCAGCGCTGCATATGGAGTTTGGAGTCAGTGTGCACATGAGCTGTACGTGTGACACGTACAGAATGTGTTACTCTGACCACAGCTGCATAGATCTCTGTGTAGCACATGTTCACTTATAACACTGAAACCTAGATAAGCCAAGCTTACTGCAGTGCTGGGAGGAGCCAGCAATGAAATCTCAGTCATCATATCAGCTTCTTTTAGTTTCATTTTTGGGATTTTTTTTTTTTAGTTATTTCTTCTTAAATAGTTATGGTCAAATTACAGTTTTACCCTGGATTTTGATAAATATTTATTAAAATAGTCTGCCTGGGGAGAAGTGTTATTAAAACTGTATCATTTGGTTTATCATGTTGTTCTGATATTTTTCCGTTCTTTGTACTGCTTCTGCTGAAACTTTTTAATGTCCTGTGACTTTATAGAATTGTAGAATATTATCTATTTTAGGCTATTCTAAATTTACCTTCACAAAGATAGATATTCTCTGTGAACTAGTATTGAGCTGTCTTAGGAAATCTGCCTAAAAATTAAGCAGTTGGTTACATTACTATTATATGTTGGTTTTTCATAAGTAGTGTGCTGGTAAAACAAAACAGAACAAAAATCCAACCAAAGCAATTTCCGCCCTGGGAGGTAGAGTGCTCTGCAAAAATATTTATGTGTTGAGAACTGCTAGATTTTTGTTCATGGATGTTTCCATCTAACAGTTAAAATTTTAAGCCAGTTATTTTTCTATGCCAAATATTTTTCTAAGTATTTGTATATTCCTTCTTCTGAAAGTTGTTCATGTGATAGAAATATAAGGAGAAAAAACTGAAGCCACCTAATATGTGGCCATATAAGTAAAGCCAGGTGTGAATTGGAGTTTATTGTACCTGTTGATATCACTTTCAGTATATCAAGTGTCATGCTGCAAATAAGAATTCTGGTCTTTCAGATAGATTACTTACATCAAGTTCCAGTGGCTTGAAATTTTATTATTTTTCCAAAAAGAGATTAACTTCTTGTTTTTTATTTTTCAGCCAACTCAGACTGTGATGCCTGGTCAGGTAATGCGAGTTACAACTGGTGCTCCAATTCCATGTGGTGCTGATGCAGTGGTGCAGGTGGAAGATACAGAGCTCATCAGGGAATCAGATGATGTGAGTCACAAGTTAAAAAACTCATTTTTCTTTTGTGTGCAGCAGTAAATGGCACATGATCCAATCCTGTAAATATGAAAGACAGTCACACAGAAAAGCTCTTCAGTAATCTCAGAAGTTTGAGGATTTTTGCATCAGTTCCTAGTGGCAATTCTCACATTTTCAGGCTGTGGTAACAGTGCCACAGAGTTTCCTGTTCTGACTGATTTTTCATCAGAATTGTTGAATGCTGACTCTAAAATGCTTGGGAGCATGATTTGAGTGAAAGGCAAGTGTCTCTTAGAAACCCATGCCTACAATCCAATTCAAATGCCTACTGTATTGACGTTTTAAAACACAGGCTAGTGGAAATCTCACCAGATAAGAAGGGGAAAAGTTTTTTTTTTATTACATATTGATCTCAGAATAATACAGTGAATTGCTGCTGATGTAATTAAAGCTGAATATGATTTTCTGTGGGAAAGTGAACTGTTTTAAGTGCCACAAAATCCATGGGATGACTTGGGTTCCTTTAAACTGTGCTATGAAGGCAGTTCTGTATTATCAGTGTTGGTCTTGTTTCAGCCAAGGTGAATTTGGTGGATTTTGGAGAATATTTCTTATACAAATACCTTCCAATGAGTCTGTTTAGAAAAAGAGGTTTTGTTATGAAACAGGGGAAGTAAATATTTTTTTAAACTACAACTAAGATTTTTAAAAGACATTTGTGCTCCTTTAAAATGCGAACATTACTGAATTTAAGACCTCTGAAAACCAAGAAATGGACAAGGTGCATATTCCTCCAGAATGTAGACATAAATCTGTTTTTGAATAGATTTTCCAGCCTAACTTGAAGTCATACTAGCGGACTACCTTACAGATGCTGCAAATACGAACACAGAAAGAGAACACAGGAAAAAAAAAAAAAACACACAGAAAAAATATGAATACTGTAGTACTAATTCTGTATGCGCTGTTGTCTCAACATAGTGAAATGTGCTTTTTATGAAGCAGTGGAGCTCTCTGTAGACAACTTTATTCCAAAGGGTCCATCTTAGACTTCCTTTGTGTTGCTGTGTTTGCTCCTGAATCCCAGCTGTGATTTCAAAGCACTATCATCATGTTTGCTGTCATCTGAGAGAATTCAAGGCAAGAAGATGTGTCTCTTATTGACACAACTTCCCAGTTCAGCTTTGGAATGAACTATGTGTATGGTTCTGTGCTCAGATCAGCCTTTGCTCTGCTGCTGCTGTTCTGACAAGCTGTTCCACTTCACCACAGCTCAGTGTCAGCATTGTGATTGCAGCTGGGGTGTAAGCAGATGAATTCTAGTGTTCAAAACTGATAAAGACTGCAAAAACTGAAACTCACTCTCAGGATCCTTTCTCATGCCTTATTAATCTTACTAAATGCATAGATGTTTACAACTAATGAGCTCAGCAAGCTGTCTAGGCTGTCCTTCTTCCTAGCAGGGAAATTATTGAAATTATCAATCCTGTTTTAGATTACAGATGTATATGTATAGATTATATCTTCCTGCAAATAACACCATTGCCTTCACTGCTTTTTAATCATTCCATTAGCCTTACTGAGCAAGTTTTTTGTGGCCACCTCATCTTGAGAGGACTACCACATTACAAATATAAGCACTACATCATAATGTAAAACCAGAATTTTTTCCAGTCTAAGTTTAGATTTAGTGCTACTGACAGGCTGGCACTATCTCAAAACTGAGTGTATATATCATCAATCCATTTGCAGGGCTTAAAATTAAATATTAATTATAGAGGTCGTGTGCCATTTATTGGCATTGAATGAATCACCAAACTATTGACATTCTGAACAAGGAAATGCATCAGACCCCTCAGGCCACTGTCTCTTGTTCACAGTAAATAAACAAGATGAATGAGCCCCTTTCTGATTCATACAAGGCTCTCAAGTAGGAGTATCCACTACAGGAATCTACATGAGAATCCTGAAACAGCTGCGGCACATAGTTTCTTTCCACCTTTCTGCTAATGTAATGGCCTACTCTCTGCCAGACTAATGGTCTGTTAGAAGTGTTATCTCTGAAATGGTTTGACCAGATCAAGTTGGCTGAGAAGAAGTAGAAAGAATCCACTCAGTATACCAGATCAACGGTGTAACACAGGAAAGCTATATAAACACAGGTATCATTAAAAATATAGGAAGCTAAAGCTAAGTATTCAGTGGTGGTCCTCCCCTAGTGAGCTCATCATAAATAGCATTTCTTAAAATGCTGTTCGTTTTAGCACACATTGTGTTACAACCTTGACAAACAAATCAGGAGAACAATATGATGCTTAAGCCATAATGTCTCAGTGTAATGTCTCAATGTCTGAGTGCTGTGTAGACTTCTGAGAAATGAATTAATCTTTGACTAGTTCAGCTGACCATACGTGATGTCCTTGTGTTTGTAGGGCACTGAAGAACTAGAAGTTCGAATCCTGGTGCAGGCTCGACCAGGCCAAGATATCAGGTCTGTATTTATTAAAATATCTCTGTTAGGAATAGAAGGGCTGATGAATTTCAAATTTTTTAATCGTGAATGGTACTGACATTTTGACAGTCAGAGTAAGGAGCATCCGTGACACTCCAGACCTGGAGCAGGACCAATGAAGGAAAGGTACTTTGAATCTCATCCTCTTTTTCTTTCATGTTATTTTTCTGTCCTTATTTTCAGACCCATAGGACATGACATTAAAAGAGGTGAATGTGTGCTGGCTAAAGGAACCCACATGGGTCCATCTGAGATTGGTCTCTTAGCAACTGTTGGAGTAACTGAAGTAGAAGTTAACAAGTTTCCAGTGGTTGCAGTAATGTCAACAGGGAATGAGGTAAGAAAAGTTTGTTTAGAATTATAGTCTGAAATACTGTATCTTTTTTGAGGCAATGTTTTGGATAGTGACTTCCACCCTACTCCCAAGCAGATTCACTTTTGATGGCAACTCATGCTGACATGAGCTATTTTTGTGAGGCATCAACCCATAATAATCTGCTTGTGTTTTCTCCCTTAGGGGCTTTCTCACAGGTCTCACACTCTCTTTGCCAAAATTTTGGTAATGTATCCAACCATGTGCCGGCTGTTTTCCTCCTGCCAGCAAGGGAGAACCTGTGGGGTAGTTGGTAGTTGTAATTCATGTTGCCAGTCATGGCTGAAGAGTAATTTCTTTTAAGCAACACCCTCTATGTCTATAACACAAATAGCAGACAAGCTGTCTTGGAAAACTGAATAGTTCTACCAAATGCCTTGTTGCAGTATTGTGCCTCAATACTCTTTCTTATAGTAGCCTGTGTTGAAATCCAGACACTATCCTGTTGGTAGAACAGCAGATCAGCTTTATAATTGCTTTAACTACATTGGAAAAATCAGGTTTAAGATTAACTTAATTTACTAACTTTACATATGTTGTGTGTTGACCCAGACCAGCAGCTCTGCCCTCTCACTTCTTCCAGCAGCAGGACAGAGAAAGAATAGGAAGAGCAAAACCTAAAGAACATGTGGGTTGAGATATGTGGGTTAAGACAGCATGAATTTTTGACTGTCCTTTAAGACAAAATTTTTGAAATCCAGACACAAATATTAACTCGGTAGCTGTATTCTCATACAGCTTGAATATGTTCAATTTTGAAAAATTTTCGTGGGTTGAATTTTGTCATCTGGGGTACAGATTGTTGCCAGATTTCACAACATAAACAGAGTGTGGCATGCAGGAACCAAACCACTAACTGAGGAATAAATCCATAGAGCTACAAGGATTACAGGTGGTGATTTTCTGATTAGTAACTTCCATAAGATTGAAGATTCTTGCACATCATTAAAGGGTCCTTTACTGGTGTAGACATTCTCTTTTGTGAAATGTTAAAACATTCTTTAACATCCTGTGACAATCTTCACAGAAACAGAGCTGCAAGCCAAAACATAAAATTTACCCATGCTCCACTTTTCATTATTCTTACCTTACTACCTAATGCTGTGATTTTGACAGATACATTCTTATTAGTACTATTATTATTTACCTCCTGTCAATATTGTATTGTACTTTTGTGTCCTGCATTAGAATTTCTAATATATATAAAACATACATTTATATATGTATGTTTTGAACTTTAGCTTCCAAAATACATAACACATGTGAGGTAATTGCCATGATATACTATCTTAAGAGAAAGTTTTTAATCCAAAACAGTAATTGATGTAAGAACTAAGCATAAGGCTACTGTCCATTAATCTAATACAGACTGTTGTATTTAAAAGACATCTTTTTTGGTGAGCAGACAATTAACTTCAAAATGTTAATGAATGTCTTTTAATCTGGTTAACAAAATCAATGAGGTTCCCTTAAAACCATTTAAAGAGGAACAACGTGAATACTTAAAAGTTTTTGGTTTGATTGCTAATGTCTGAGATTAGAAGCCATGTACTCAAGGAGTAAGAATGTTTTGCAGACATGAACCAGTAGAAACAAACAAAACAACATGGTGGATTAGACTAAACAAGCACATTACATATTTTATTAATTTAAATTCACTAAATCACTTTATGCATATGTTTCATGATATGTGTCTGGAAACGTCCTCTCCAACCTGAAGAAAAAATTCTCACTTGTGTAAAGCACAGTGTTCCAAGGAGACTGACTGAGAGTGTTTCTGGTTTTACAGCTGCTGAATCCTGAGGATGACCTCTTGCCAGGCAAGATTCGGGACAGTAACCGTTCAACTCTCCTAGCTACAATCCAAGAACACGGCTATCCAACAATCAACTTGGGAATTGTGGGTGATAAGTAAGTACCACATGTTAGTAAAGATGTCACTTCATATTCATGTGATGCACTTTATGGCATCCATGGGAAAAAGAAATACCAGAGAAAATGTCACTCATTACAAATGTCACAGTATTGTGACAAGGCACATCTTGGAGAAAGTATTTCACCCTTTTCATTATAGCAAGAAATAAATATTCTAATATTAGGACAAGTCTTTTGAAAAAAAATTATTTCATGGTGTTCAATTTGTTTTGCATTCTGTTTGTTGAAACAGATAATCTGTTTCCTGTTGCAAATTGAATTTATTGCTGCAGTATCCTTCCAAGCACTATACTTAAAACACATAAGGGGAGACAGTTCTACAGCAGCTGCACTTTCTTCTGGTCAAATAAAGGGAGAAGGAAAGTTTCTCTCAGAGTTTATTTTCCATGCCAAAATTGATTTAGAGTATAAAATTTTGTCATATTCTGAGTAACTGTCTTTTGAGGAAGGCCCCCCCTGCTGCATATTGCTCATAATTTCCAGAAATATGTGGAAGAATTTTTTTTTTTTTACTTTATTGGTCTTTACTTTGATTGCCACAGAGTAGCACCCTACAGATCAGCCTTTCTGTTCATCTGACAGTGATTGCTCCTTGTTTCCCAATGGTAGTGAAGTGACATCTCTTGAGAGCTCTGGGATAAATGATTAAGTGTTCAGCTTTCTGTCCTTCCCAAGACTGGGCAGTGACTGCTATCCATGGCTTGAGTTTCTCAGCATAATGTATTTCCTCAATGTATTGAGACCTAGAGGCTTTGAATAGTCTTTCTTGCTTTTCAGTTGGGGTATCAAACCAACTGACAGACTTGGTTTGTCAGGGGGTTATTCAGGTCATCCCAGTGGGTAATTAAAACCATATCCCCAGGTGCCACACCTACAGGTCTTTTAAATACCTCCAGGGATGGAAACTGCATCACTTCCCTGGACAGCCTGTTCCAATGCTTGATGGCCCTTTCAGAGAAGAATTTTTTCATGATATCCAGTCTAAATCTCCCATGCTGCGACTTCAGGCCATTTCCTCTCATCCTATCATAAGTTATGTGAGAGAAGGGACCGATCCCCACCTGTCTATACCCTCCTTTCAGGTGGTTGTGGAGAGTGATAAGGTCTCCCCTGCACCTCTTTTTCTCCAGGCTGAGCAATTCGAGCTCCCTCAGATATTCCTCATCAGACCTGTTCCCCAGATCCTTCAACAGCTTCACTGCTCTTCTTTGAAATGTCTTTCTTGTAGTGAGTGAGATTTAAGGCCCAAGAGAACTTTTTGCTTTTCTATATTTTTTACAAATGTATTTTATGACCTTTTTTTACTTGTCAGATGCTAGCTGAACACCAGGCAGCAAACAAATATATCAGTCTAAGGAAGTGCCTGCAGCTTTGCTTTCAGTTATGTGAGAGGTGGATTCTTTTGAATCTTAGCTATTAAAATGATCTCTGAGTCTTGAGATAGCATTACCTTGGCAAAGGTAGTAACGGTTCTTTTTAAATGTTTGGTTTTCTGCTTTTTTCTGTTTCATGCTAACAAAGCAGCTTCTGCAGAGGTAGTTACTTTAGCTCATAGAATAGAAATAATGAGCCTCCAATCACAGAATGTACTTTGCAGTAAGTTTTGAAAGAATAATTCAGTACTGTTGACTTAGCTAAGAATCTTCTGCACTAGATATCAGGATTTAGACTTAGCAAGTCTTCTGCTATTCTTCCACACTCATATGCCCAATCCATATCTTTACAGCAAAATGCACCAGCAGTACTGTTTCACTCAAAAAGAAAATCTGATTGTGTAAATCAGTTTGATAAGAAGCATGGTGTTATTTCATTACATAATAAAGTTAACAGAGTGTTGCCCATACAAATATTTCAGTACATATTTTTGGACTAACATGACTGATTTGATGGAGTACTGTGGCATTTGAACAAATGCAGGAGACTTACCAGAAAGATGTTTCAAAGGGTACAATTTTGACACTTTAATGTTTGTAGAATAGAGAAACAAACCTTCAGTGTCTGTTTTATGGTTTACTGAGGTTAAACCATAGATTATGTGTGTTTGTGTGTGCTCATATATATGTGTATTTTATGTGTATAATATGTATCCAGACATTGAAAAACAGGAAGATTTTATATGCCTGCAATATCTACTGGTGTAGTAAAAATACTAAAAAAAAAGTGGCAAACATATTTTTCAGAAGGAAAAATTTAAAACATGTACTTTTTTTTTTTTTTTTTGATGTATCATGGTGTATATTTCTTCCTTCCCATTCTTTAGATTTGGGTGATTGTTTTCATATTTCCTTTTTCTACTACAATTTTCATGGGGTAAATTTTGCTTCATTTTCCTGGGAGTGTCACTTCCTGTGCACCATAAGCACTAATGGAGTGTGAGACAGCAGCTAATAGGGAGCACAGTTGAGCATTACAATTGCTGTAATGGGTCACAGTTTCTAACCATGAAAATCCTCTTCAATTATATTTGCAGATCTAATATTCAAGCATAAAAATTTTTTAGAGTAGTATGTGCAAAAACAAACTTAGAGGTTATTCCCATACATAATTTCAGCATACAAATCACTCAGAGGTGTTTAGGTAAAAAAATAGCTTGTCCAGCTGCTTTAAAGCCCAGGATTGTGATACATGTAAACACAGAGAATGTGAAAAGATGAGGAAGCACACTGAATGTTTGGGTTTCTGAAGAGTAGTTAGAAGCATTTGTAAAATGCCTTTGCATATTAATCATACATGAAGTTACATTTTGAACTGACCACTCAAGTCTGACTTAGCCTAAAGCTGTACTTTAATTTGAAACCAATATTATATTTCTTTTGGGAGCATTTTAATGATTTCTGAGATTGTCACTGTCATTTCTATTCTCATAAATTGTATATATCACTCAATATTCAAAATAAAAAACAGCCATTCCAAAACTGATGGATAAAGTTTACACTTGAAATCCTAGAAGAAAGCAATAGGAGAAAGGAACAGACCTGGGAATGTGATACAGCTGAAGTTAGGTCTGGCCAGAAGCCAAAATTTTCTCAATTTGTGTTCTTAGCACGTAAAAGCCAAGCTGTTTGAAAAGCACACATCTCTGAGTAGAAATGGAAGATAAATCCATTTCCAGAGCCACTGCAAACACAAGAAACTAGTGCAAAACTAAGGAAAGGAAGAATCCTTCTGATATTGTTGTTACTGTTTTGTCTTACATTTCTTGTCTGAATCTCAGACACGCTTGCTAAAAACTTAAAAAAACAACTGGCCAGTTAAAGTTGGTATTCCAATGTACTTTTCAATGTTGTCTCTTAATAACTAGACCAAGTTAAAAGAGCTTTAATTTGTTTTGCTTATAGTTTATGAATTTATTTGTTTTTTTGGAAACCAATGATAAAAATAAGTCGCATTTCTGATCTGATCTGTAGAAGTCTAATTGTCAGGATATTTTTGTGTCTGATTATTTCATTTGTGTTGTTCTTTGTATCCCATTGTTTAAAGTGTAAAGTTTAGCCCTAGCAAAATCTGCTGCAGCATGGGCCTCTGTTTTACAAAGTTGTCTTCCATTTTGACAGCTTTTCTTCTATGAAACACTTTCTTATTAAGCTTGCTAAGGAATTTTGATCATGTATGTAATGAATTCAATCTCCTCTGCTTTCACCTTTGTTTACATGAGGGCATTTTCCCCTTCTCCGCATTCTTTTCCCTATTTTCTAATTCTCTTATCATTTTTCTCAGAGGCATGTGTAATATTTAGTTGCTTCCAACAGCATTTTCATTTATGAGTCTGTCATTTCACAGTGGAGAGAGAAAGAATCTCTCTCTTTAGGAGAAAAATTCAGGAAATTCATATTATTTCGTCACTTGCTTGAAAGATTTATCTGAATAGTTATTAAATCAGCAGTTTATGAGAGCTTCTCTACATGGGAAGTGTTTAGTCTCTTATTTGTTTACCTCTCCTTTTTGACATATGGTTGGACATAGAGCTTCTAAATGACAGATAAACCTATTAAAAGTCACCCTTGCTGTTTTACCAGCATTGCTCTGTGATATCCCTAAAACTAAAGCTTTGATAGAGTCTCTTCATATTTAGAATGGATACTGAAATCTTACTGAAGGATTTAGTCAGCTTCAATTTTAAGTTTGTCGTCCCAAAAAAGGATTTAAACCTTTTGTATTTGTGAGGCTTGCATGTAATTACTACTATTATAATATAGGTGGAACATCTGGAGTGGAGGGAGGAGAGTGGAGAAACTGCTCCAACTCCTAAATTTCTCTTACAATACCAGCCTGATATATATCATTATATGAGTTAGGGTATGAGTTGTGGGCAGAATCCAGGCACAGAATCCTAGCCTCTCCCTGCTCCAGCTTAATGCCAGCTTGGGTAAAAGCAAATATACTGTGGACAAAATTAGTAGTATCATTTAACAAATGACTGCAAGAAAATGCTTGTTAGAGAAAAGACTGTACATTAAATGTCACATTATTAGGTTTTGCTAAAGTGACTTCACTTCCAGTTCTACTCAAAAAACGATGGTGTTATAAATTTTGATCATAGCCTAATGAGTGCAGGGACACAGAGTAATGGTTTGAAGGTGATTCAGATGTGGATGTCCTCTCCTTCCTTGTGCCTTGTCAAGAATATTCTCCTTTTCAAGCAGAAATGTTTAGTATCTGTCACAACAACTCTTGATAATCATTAGGGAAATCTTCAAATAAGTTGTCATATTGACAAGTCATCTCATCTAATGCACATCTTCCAAAAACACAAAGGAATGTCTGAGCCAAAACAGAGGTGAAAAAAGAACTTGTGAAATGGGACAGTGCGAGTCTTCTGTACAAGTAGGAAACTACATAGTGTGACAGGTAATAAAATTTCATGCTGTAGAGGTGACAGGTGCAAAGCTAATGCAGAGCAGTGTGTCATTTTCCTGTGTTCAACACAAGCATGGGCTCCTTCCTGGATTAGCATGTTTAGAATCACAGCCCAGTAGTAGCACATGACAGTAAAGAGCAGATAATAAAAAGGACAGAATACTTTGAAAATCCTGTCTTTGAAAAAAGAGGGAATCTATTTGTTGGAGGAAAATAAAAATTACTATTTTTATGGTCTATTTTTGAGGCTTAAGTTAACAATTTTAAAAGTCCTTGGAGAGATAGGTTCTGCTTTCAAGAGAACTTCAGCTTCTAGAGGCCAAAGTATCCTTCACTTAAATGACTTTCAACCTTCTTAATGCCCAGAGCATATATAAGAATCTGAGTTCCAAAGTCACTGAGAAATTTTTGAGGCTTGAAATTTTACTAATATCCTAGAAGAAAGTAATGAAAACTAATAAAGGCAGTAGATAGGGAACAATCAAAGTGGTGAACACTGAAGATGGGTCACTGGGTAAGTGATAGGAATCACTTACAAAACTGGGTTAAGTATATTGTTGATACAGCCAAATATGAATTGATATATAGAGCATTAAAGAATATAAGTAAAATTTACAGGCTGGAGGTTTATATCCTAAGAAGTAAAGATTTAAGAAAATAGTTGAGAATCATCTAAATACAAGCTCTAGTACATATATATATAAAGAGCTAATCCCCTCTAGAATTAGAAGGTTAATTTTGTCCTCACCTTTGTATTCCCAGGACAAGAACCATTAAATTTCTGAAGTGGTTGAAAGATGGACCGTGTACTAAAGTAATACCAGAACTCAGGCTGTTTAGTTCAACAGATGTTCTTACGAGATCACTTGATTATCTTTCAGTAATACTGAGCCACATAGACAACAAACTGAATAAGGTTTTTATTTCAGCAGCAATGCCTATGTATTCAAGTTAGACTGACTCAGAGTGTAAGTAAAGCATAATTTTAACAGTGATAGTAATTAGTTATTAGGAAACTAAATCAAATGCTTTGATATTCATTTGAAAATGAGATTGGATATTTATTTACAATTCAAACAGAAGCAAGTTCAGGGAGGTTCTCACACTATTTTAAATACCGAATCATAAAAAAGAGAGTTATTTCTCCTGGTTGCAAATAATCTCTTAAGTATTATTTCAGAGGATTAAATTAATTTTTATGTTATTCTAATGGACAATACATAGTAGAAGCATAAAATCAGAAGACTAGTACTAGCAGAAATTACACAACAGAGCTTAGCATCATGCTGAAAAATATTTTGGATTTTTGCGACTGCTGTCCATAACATTGGTGGTTAAACCAGAACCTGGGATCATTCATGAAATCCAAAAGTCTTTTGTGTGTCACTTCATAACACAGGGAGCTTGTTTTGAGAAATAGACTTTGACTTCATTACTCTGGCAATGAATAGAAGAGAAAATGAGAGAGTGAAGTCATTTTAGGAAATGGCTTTCTTGGGTAGCCTGTCAGAAAGAAAAGGACATCTAAACTTTTAACCTGAATAATTTGAATATTTTTCCATCACTTCCTGTCAACATTAGTATGCATTCAATCTGACAGACCCTCTTTATGAGCTATGAGGAGAAACATGGTGTGGATTTACAAGGTGATAAAAGAGGATTTTAGATTTCGTGTTGGCAGTGACTTTGGGCATGTGTAACAGTAGTGTAGGGACATTGGCCCAGTCTTCTCACATTCCCCAGTCAGACAGGACAGCAGTGTGCACAGAAGTGATCTTTGAAATGCCAGACTGAAGCTGCCTTGTGCAGGATCAGCTGGCCGTGGACTGCGGAGGGAGGTTGGCTTTGTTGTTAACTGTCCAGCCAGCTGATATGAAGAAATGGCTCAAGAGTCACAGTGAAGACTGATGTCATGGTCCATTTCAGTAATGAATATCTGATTTCAGGGTTTTTTTAAAGGTATATTTATAAATCTTCATGTCTAATAAAGATTTTTTAGCATTTAATTACCCTACATTTAAGGGTATAAAAACATAACTTATATTCATTTCATATTTCTGTTACAAAGGACACTATCTAGAAATAGTTTTTTCACAGAAAAACTGACTTGGAAGAAGTATATGTGAAAGGTAATGCTGCTTTCATAATTGGAAATTCATAACAAATCATTAATTGTTTTAAATAAGGTCCTGACAGGAGTAACTTTCTCAGTTTTGGACATTTTTTCTAATCCTGCCTCTTGCAGCAGGGTATGAAGCTTCTCATGAATGAAGTGGCATCTTTATTGACTATGGAGTTATAAAATTAGGATAATTACAGCTCTTTCCCCCTTGAAGTTAAGAAGGTGACAGTTATTATGCCTTGAGACCTATTTCCTGAATAAGAAGCTAAAAGTGTGAGTAAAAATGTTTCAATGGGGTCCATTTCCAAATATTTTCCCTTCCTCCTTCCAAAACGTCAAGTTGTTTAACACTTCGTTTTGCTTTGTTTTGAAGTCAAGAGTAAAGAAGTTTCTCCATAGACACTGCAAGGAAAGATGAACTGTGCTTTGTTGGCATGCCCAGTTGAGCCTAAATCCTTCCATAACTTTACTCTTCATTCCTTGGGAGAAGCCCATCCAAACTGTAAGAGAAAGATGTTCCCGTGCTCTCCCTTTCTCTCCCATTGTCTGGCCTTGCAAAAAGGAAGCATTTCCCCTGGTGATTTTGAATATCTAGAGCCACCAAGGGGGACACAGCTGGGCACAGAGCTTCCCTTTGACCCCAGGAGACTCTCTCCTTCCCTGGCTCTTTATTATACCCCTTCTGCTTCCTTTACCCTCAGGAAGCCAGATGTTTTTAAAGAAGAAGGGACACAGAGCTTCCAGAACACTGCGGAGACAGGCCTACCAGATTGGTGAGCACTGTTTTTAAACCACTTGGGACCTTGAGGCACGTGCATGCTCACAGGCAGGCTCGGCCAGGTGTCTGTCAGGGCAGAGCTTGGAGCACACATCCAACCAACATTGCCATACAGGAGCAGATGGTGTTTTATTCTGTCCATTAAGTAGCACTGCCTTTTCAGTTCGGTTCTTATGCACCAGTGCACTGTAGACTTAATTACATGGCTCCACAACATTGACAAAATGAAAATGTTTACATTGCTCATCAGTAGCAACAAACATCTTTATCCATCAAGGCTTTTCCCTTTTGAAAACTGAGCAAATTAGGAAAAATCTTGCTTGAAGGTAGTAGTGGAGTCCAGGGAAGTCACTGAAGCTGTGATTATTCAGTCGTAACAGGAGTTGGACTTCAGTGATCCTCGTGGGTCCCTTGCAACTCAGGATGTTCTGTGAGCCTGTGATACTGCGTACTTGGTTTTCCACCACTGTGCTGATCATCTCTAAAGCAGACTAACTGAATCATTCAGGGAATCTCTAAACTATGCACTATGCATTTTTTCCAAAATACGTATGCAATGATATACTACATCTTACTTAGGGAGATGTTATAATAATATAGATTAATTCTCAGAACTTGCCCTCTAACACAGACAGGCCCAAGGAGCAGAAGTGATGACAGAGGGAGAATAAACTACCTGTCATTTTCTCCATTAACAAACAGAAACAATGAGTTTCTGTAGGTTCATTCATATAGGAAATAAAAATAGGTAAAAAATGAATGAAAATCCTATTGAAGATTAATACTTGGAAACTTCACATGTGAGGATCCTCACTGGGGTAAATGGGCCCATTTTTGTAAGAAAAAGTTGGAGGATTGGGTTTTAGCTTAATGTTTGCTTTGCATACTGGAAAACAAATTGCTTTTCTCATGACTGAGTCAATCTGCCATATCCTTAGCTTTCAAAAAACCCGTTCTTGTTTAGCAATTAGTTATTCATGCTGAAGCCAGGTTGTTATAAATCTAAGTTTTTCTCATGTAATGGACTAAACCTTTTGCTATACTACACATCCAAAAAAAATTTATGGGAATCTGCAGTATTTAAAACATTTTAAATTAAAGTGAAGACTGTGATACAGACTATCTGCTTTATCTGAAATTGCTTAAAAGATTAAATTTACCAGCAGGTGATGGACTTGGAATTCCTCATACAAGTCAGTTCACACCTCATTGCTACTGCATAAAACATTAAATGAGCCTTTAGTCTCTTCTAAGCAGTGTGAGGGAAAGCACCAACAAAAACCAGCCTCTAGAATAAGTCTTCCTACGCAAAGCATGAGCAATAAAAAATTCTTCTGCTTCCAGAGCAGGAGAAAAGGCAATGGGCATTTTGTTCTGTTAATAACATCTTTGTGCTTAAAGGAATATGGTCCGGTATTGTAGAGACAAATGAAGTTATTTCTTACACTGTAGTTTACTCTTCATGGGGAATTTGTATTTTTTTTAGTAAACAAAATTCGATGCCATATTTCATTTGATATTTTCTAAAAAATAACTGTTTGTTTTAGGACACAGCTGATGACAGAGAATTTTTAAAGGTCTTTTTATATTGTCTCTAACCTGTGGCTTCCAAATCATTTGTGTTCTGGAGACATTTTCCCAAGTGATTAAGTTATGATTCTATAAAGGGTGGTGCTTCCTAGAGAAAGCCTTCATTTTGAGGCATTGCTTTTGGGGACTGCATTTCTACCTGTCCTAGAGACATCCATACTGTAGATCAATAGCAATTACACCAGTTACAGGGGGAATTAAATAACTTTAAATTCCCTTTAAATTTATTTAAAATTGACTCTTACAGTTGAAGCTAAAGTAAAATGAAAAGGTAAGAAATTCTGTGATTACAATGCCATTTCACTGTGTCAGATTTGGTGATATTATTTGATACATGTAAACAACTGGCACTAATTACATCCATCATATATTTTACTTTCAGTTGTGTCAGTATAAGCCAATTCTCATTTCATGAGTGCTCTCATTGAAATAATTGCAGATCCACAGTTGCCCTTCAGACTCACCAATGCACTGACATCTTTACCAATGCAATGCATTGATTATTATATTGTGTAATGTAATCTTAAGTCACTATTATTTCAACCCAGCTACAACTGTTGGATATTTTCTGCTCCAAAAGTGAAAACTTTTCAGTGAATCCATATTGACTCACTTCCTTTGTAAGAAGGAAGATAAAATAAAAATCTTTACCTGTGTAATCCCATCCAATTTCTTAGAAAAACTAATGGATTTCTGGTAAGTGTAGAGATAAGGTTCATTATCTTCAGCCAGCAAAAATAGCCAGGGATAGTTTTTTAATTAGTGGAAACCAGCAGTTCTCAGGCTGCTTCTGACTCAGAGGACACACACTATACTAGATTTAGACTGAATTAAGTGCTCACGAGTCAGTACAATGGCACAGCACCTGAAGACAGCTGTTATCAAAGCTTTGGCCCTGTTCTTTTAGCATTTATGGAAAAAATCACAATTCACTCTGAAATGCTTGCAGCTGAATGTACACAAGCAGCAAACAAGGATGTGGTGGAGGACTCTTCATGCAGGAATGTGCCTGTAGTACATGAGCACCTGGCTTCTATGCATGAGACTTGTTCCTGTAGCACTCCCATAGTTACCTGTTTTTCTGACCTGTCTGAACTTTTGTCATTCTGGCATATATATGAGTGGGAGTCTTCTGAAGCAGGTCAAGGAAACAGTGGAGGAAAATCTATTAGCATCCTGATATAGAAAGAAACACTGAAGGTATTAGACAGCTCTCATAGTTACTTCAGCAAAAAAGTTGAAGACCTCTAATTTAAGGCCTCTAATCAAAATCCCTACAAGTTCATAAATGTAACATGAAAAAGAATACTCTGCAAAATAACATTTATATTTGTGGCAGCAATTAAAGGAACAGCAAAAATTACCAAAGACATATTCTTTAATATTGCTGTCAAATAGACAAAACTTACATAGTTATGTTGAACAAGCCAAAAGCTGCTGTAATTATTCCAGCTCTCCTCACAAGCTGGCCTATTTTCCTAGGGAAAACATATTGCATCTGTTCAGAGTGATCCAGGGAAATACCACAGAAGGTAAAAGGAAGATACATTATGAGAACATGATGAAATACACTTGAGAATTTTGAAACAAATACAGTTTCAGAAGTATGTCCATATGTTACTACATACACCATCAAAATCAGATTTGCTTCTGCTTTCAAAAACCATACTAGTCAAAACACAGAATTCCTATTACCATCAAATATTCGTTCATTGAATTGCATTCAGTGAAATGTATTCATTGATTTGCATTCAATATTATATTCTACAGAAGGTGGATTTTAGTTGGCTAAAAATAATGCACCATTCTGCATCCTGCAAATTACTGATATGCAAAATACTCCTCTTGGTCATGAGGTGCGAAGTGGGTGACAGACTTATGCCTCACTGCATTCATCTATTCATTTTGAAATCTGTCACCTCAGTTGAATGAGCAGTTAAAGAATGAGAGTTAATCTTAAAGGATCAAATCCATATCCCATCTTTCCTCAAGAAGAAATGTTATTGAGCTTGATAAGATCTGTGAGTACAACAAGTAGTCTGTTGGTTATTTGATGAAAATTCTAATTTGGCAAATTCTTTGCTATTTTGGAGGCAGAACTAGAAGTTTGACTGGGATCTTTGCATGCAAGGGGAATTTCTAGCAGGTCTTTGTACCTCAGTTAAACATGTTCTTCTGGAACATCTCTTTAGCAGGTAAGAGACTTCCTGAGATGCAAAAGTAGTACAAACCACTGCTGCCAGTTTGTGGGAACATATCTGGAATGTGCTAAGCTCAGGGCACCTCCAGTTGAAGTTTACAGTCAACTACTGTAGTTTAGAGAGCAGCTGGACTACTTTGGTCTCTAGTGTGATTGTGTAGGATCACTGCTTAGCACTTCTGTTTTCACTGTGTGTCCAGGAATATGTACCTCCTCAGAATTTTTGAAGAAACATGTCTTTCAGCATATAACTGAAATACTTGAGATACTTTCAAATAAAGTAAAACAGTAGGCAAGAAAGGTTGGCCAGCTCTGCTTTTGAACTCACAATAGACACTTGTGCATGCATCTGGTGCATCATGGTGCATGTGTATCTTTCTGTGTCCAGTATCTCTGTAAAGCACACACGTTCAAGGTGCTGACTGTGGTGGTGCATGCACATTTTGCAAGTACAGGTTACCAGAAGACCTGGGTTTATAAAAACCCAGGCTGCTGCATAGAGGAATACAAGAGCCACGAGTGTTTCTGTTAGTCACCCAACAGTAGCAGCTGGATTTGGCAATGGGCAGCGAGGACTGGAAGTGACTGTCAGGTAATGAGGTTACATTGAATGAACGAGACTCCTGTGGCAAAGAACTCCTGTGGTGGAAGTGATCCTGGAAATTAGTAATGAACTATGGGTTTTGTACTGTGACAATGGCTTGATAAGTCAGTCCTAACTAAAGGTTCTAGCCCCATTTTAACCGGGATCTTTGTTTTGCTGCAGAGTGGTAGGTGATTTTTGGAACATTTGCTGTTATTTGTTTTCTATATCAAATTATAAAACTGAGCAGTTTAATTGCATATATCAAACTGCTGCTGTTGGGGTTGTATCACAGAAAAAGCAGACAGATTGATAATTAATGACAGTGAAGCACAACAATAGGATCAACAAAAGTGAATTAACATGTGTTGATTTCTATGTGAAAGAGAAAATTACACTGTAATTTAGGGTACTTCAAACTGGCACTTAAAACACAGAGAATTCTTTGGTCTTGACTATAATGTAGCTGTTTCTTTTGAGAGTGGAAAGGAGAAAATTTACATGCCTGATGTCTGTTTTAATGAGGCTTGCATCATTTCTTGTTCAAGCTCTTAAGCTTTCTTGTATATCTTTTCCGTTCAAAGACAGCTCACTTGACAGCTCAAGTGTTGAATAAGTTTTCCACAAACTAACTTTGATAACCAGAATTTTTCATGAATCCAGAAGGTGTTCCTGCTGTACTGCCATCCTGCAAGTCCTCTCTTCAAATCAATGAAAGCAAGTGTCAGCTGCAATGTCACACATCTGCTTACTGGATGCTTGCTGCTGCCATTGTACAATAGTTACCCTCCAAACAATTTCCAGATTGTACTGCTCCTTCTGTTCCACAAAACTGAACAAGAAAGATCAGGAAACTGGGATACTACAGTAGATACTCTGTTTATCAGACTGACAAAATTAGCAGAGGATATAAAGATATAGTTAAAAATACATGCACTCTTTATGCAAATTACTATGCAGCTTCAAAAATGTATGTACAATACACATAATATTTATGCAGACACAATCTGCTCCAGATGTTGAGAGAAAGTTTGGATTTGTTCCTTATTTATGTATGTGAATAATTTCATAAACTGTATGCAGTCCTTAAATAACAAATTTTCTTCAAGGTATTAACAAAAGGTGATCAGATGTGATCTGAAACACATCTGAGTATAACTTTTTTAATAAGTTCCAGCATGTTAGAAAAGCACATTCACTTTTTGTGCACAATGTCACTCTGACTTTGACTTTGAAAATCACCAAATGAAACAGAGTAATTTTGCCATCTGGAAATTAGACTTTCCATCAAAATCTACTTTACATTGATTAAGGTATTCAACATTATATTTGAGCACCTGTTACAGTTCTGTCTTTGAAGGGAAAAAAAAATCCAAGAATAGCACTTTGACAAGATATTTTAAAGGATTTATTGTGGTAAATTAGACCATTAATCTAGCTAATCCAGTATCCTGCCCTGCTTCAGAATATAGCTTCTGATTTGTACCTGCTCAGACAGTGGGTGTTATTTCTCAGCTTCATGGCGATTTGTCACCTGCCTTTTAAAACAATCTTGTCGTGCTATGCTCAGATGCCAAAGTCATCTTGTCTATTCTTTCAGAACCTAATAGTTTTCATTATTTATTCCCTTTCCTTTTATTTCCTTTTTCAATCTAAAGGACCAGCTGCTCACTGTTACACAACAAATGAAACAAGAAGTAGTATCTTGTTACCTGATTATATCAACTCAGTGTTAATATGCAATTTGAGTAATAACTCTCCGCATTAAATCCACTAAAGGCGAGGGAAATGTTCACAGTGTTGATTGAAGACTGCCACAGGGGACTCCTGTAAGGAGTGTTTGGTGCTAATTGCAGAGTCATGGAACTACTAGCCTTAAGTACAACAAAAAGTTAAACAGACCTGAGTGACAAAAAGAAGTCTGCCAAAAATGTCCAAAAAAGAGACATTTTCTGCGACAGCAAGGGAGGAAATTCCATCACCTTTTTTCAAAATGAAAACCAAACTAACATAATTAGTAAGTTTATTGCAACAAAATTTCTGTCACATCTTTCCTTTAGAAATAAATTCATTCTGTAACTATGTTAAAGACGACATGCAGTGCTATTGCCTGGACAAGTTTTAGTGGTAGAATTTTTTAATGCCTTGCACTATTCAGATGGTAAAGAAAAGAATTTTAAAATAGTGAAGAAAAGTATATTATACAGATCATTCTACTGGAAATTCTAAAAATGCATCAAGTCCAGTAATATGCAGCTTTTTACATGACAAAATAAAAATACCTGAATGATTAACTAGTCCAGTGGTATGCTGTCCTCATAAGAAAAGACGTGAATTGAGTCCTCACCAGGTTTGAGTTTAGGCTTATTTGGAGGGGGAAGGGGGCTTATTGATTTTTTTCCTTTGTTAAGTGATTTAATATATATACAAATACATATTTTTTTCATATGTAAGTAGCTGCATTTCCATTCTATTTAACTTTAACGACAATTAAATATATACTTGTTTGCTTTTTACTGTTCTTTTCATTATTCTCAAACCACAACCAAAAGCAAGCCCACTTCATTATCCAGAATTAGCATGCCCCCAGACAGGTAGACTTGCTACCTATGAATAACTTTTAAATAATGAAACAAGAGAAAATGAAACAGCCTGGAGCAAGTTCAAGATAAGGTCCTCAGCTCCATCACAACCTAATGAGAAAAACGTACTGAAAGCAGTCTTGGGCTGGTGATAGTGGCATATGTCTGACTGCTGAGCCTCAGGAATGCCAATATCAACCTATGTAATGAATATGTATTCCTTGCTGCATTCCAAGCAGCCTCACTGGCAAGGATTAAGGGACACTTAGATCTTGAGACAGTTTTCCTATTACAAACTCTATAATAATCTTAAATGATATCTTGTTACATACAGATACTACTTAGAGGATCAATATGAGACAATTGGTTTTGAAGAAGTAGCCAACAGCAGACTTGCTTCTTTCTACTTTCCTTCAGTGACTGGTGAAGACTTGTGCTGGGTTTTGGAGAAAATGATCCCGAGATTTCAGAAGGGGCAGCTGATAAAATGCCTCAGTTTCCTAAAGAACAAAGGAGATGTTTTCGCTTGAGCCCATTTATTTTCCCCCAAAGAAAACAGTTTAGGTGTTCTTTGTAGGCCATTAAGAATATCCAAGATACGCAGTACCCTAAACCATAGTCATGATGGCATGCCACAACACTGCAGCCACTGTTTCCTTTAAAAAAGGAGTAGTGTATAATTCTATCCTATTGACTGCAGTCTACAGCAATCTGCCCTTCTTTCTGCTGTATCTTGTTGCCTGCCTCTTGCAAAGCAATCTGACCCGAGAGGGGTGTAACCCAACATAGGTAATAAAGTTGTGCAGGATGACTGCCCTGTGATGCCTGAGAACATGGTGCTTCAGTCACTGGACATTGTGGAGAAAGAGTCATGAGTCTTTCTGCCTGTGAGGCATAACCAGGGTAGAGGACACCGGAGGGCTTTCTGGTGAGATGAGGCGTGTGCAAGGTTGCATGCACTGAGCTATTTACTCAGTGAGGGAGTGCGCTCATTCTTGCACCACATAAATTGTAGTGCACACTGCAGCACGTCATGCTAACTGCTGCTTATATTTCACTGGACCATGGGCAAAGAAAGGATGCTCAGAGGAAAGGATTTTTCTTTCTGAGACATTTGGAAACACAGAGTTTCTGCTAGTCTCTGAAAGGTCAACTAGAACTTGCATAATATTCCTAATTTTTATGTTTTCAGCTCAAACGCCAAAATTACTGCTGTAGTTCTACTTTTGGATGAAATACAGCCCAAGCTCTCAAAGGATAGCCCTCATGTCATTTTCAGCCTGCATTCACCACCCACAATGGCATTTTGTAGCTGTAGCATGGTATTTACCTGAGGTGCTGTATTCCAGGTGAAGGCCTTCATACAGTCACTAGTATAATTGCCCATTCTTTCAATGGCATTGTAAGCAGGAACAGCCATGAAAAGCTTTCAGGATCACTGAACTGAAAACATACTGTTGAAGAAGCAATACATACAGTCATAGCAACCAGTCAGCTTCTGGTCAGTTCACAAATGTTAAATGCAAAGCATGAATTTAATATATTGGAAATTGGTTTTGATTCCTTTGGACCTGTGTGAGTTGTATTACTGAGTTTCTCCACTGCATGCCTTGAAGCTCTGTATTAGCATCAGTTACTGCTCTTAAATATCTAATTCTCATATCAAAGTTTCCAGTTTAGATCTAAAATGGAAAGAAAAGAAGACACCAATTTCCTTCACAGTTATACTCTGTATGGAAGAATATCATAGCTCCCATTACACTGTTTCTCATGAAGGTGAATAGACCTTTTAACAGCATGGATTGTGTTTTTGCAAGCTGAAATGGATATTTATCGGTGGCTTTGCTGCAGAGCCCCCTAACAGAGAAGAGAAACAAAGGATTTACTCCCTCTCTTCTCTGATCAAAGTTTGAAGTGGAACCTCATCCCCATTTTTGCAGACACCAGATAAGGTAGACAGGTAGTACTGCAGCCTTCTTGGTGGTCAGTAATGTTCATGTGTCAGGTGCCTTTATATATCCCTGTCAGTTCATCTAAGTCACAATTTGTATTACTACCTATTGTGCCAGTTGCATACTCTTAGACACTTGTAATAGCATTCTTCAGTCCCAGTCTAAAGTATCCCACTGTTCCTGTTGCAAACTTTAGACAGAAAGGTGCCAAACAGTGTGGTGTTCCCTTAATGAGATTGCAGTTCTTGACTAGAATTGAACAGTGTGGAATCTTAAGAAGGAAAAGAGCTTGTATTATTCTCTTAAAACAAGTGTGTTTATGCACCTGTATGTGTGCACACAGACTTATATTACAAGTCATAATAATTCCATGCCACTAATCTGCTTGCCTGTTTTTTCCTGTAGCCCAGATGATTTACTGAATGCACTGAATGAGGGTATCAGCCGTGCTGATGTGATCATTACATCAGGAGGTGTATCTATGGGGGAAAAGGTATGCAAAATTTAAGTTTGACTTCCTACAATATACGTAAGAATTTCAAACCTGAGTCTGCCATCCAAGCTACTACCTTTGTATTAATGTTTATTGAAAATGGACCTTACTTTTATTGGAACACTTACAAGTAAATCACTGAAGAAAATAGTCTTCAAAGCTCATTCCATTTGTTCTTGTTTCTGTACTATAGTTGACATAGTACAACAGAGAAGCTTTTAATTCTTGATGTGAGGGATTTACAAATGTGTTTTTATTTAAGGAATGATTTATGTAGATGAGGAAGGTGCTGGGTTAATAGCACATGAAGACAGTAGAGTTTATTTTTAGAGCAGGTAAAATGTAGATAGCATTGAGGTACTTTGAAAGTACTTTGAAAAGCAACCTAAGTATATAAATAGCATTTTTTTACTCGGCACATCTGTTTCCTGAATGTGCCAAAGCTCTATGTGTTACAAAAATAGTTTTATCACATTTTGCACCTACATTTGATAGTCCTACAGACAGTACTTATGAGACCCAGTGAGCTGATATATTTGCCTTTTGAATCATTAACAGAATTGTTGATTGAGTTCCTGTTGATTATCCCTGTGCCAAAATCATCAAAGAAAATAGGGATACACAGATGCTGGTGGGGCATAGATGAACCTGCAGGACATTTATTAATCATGACTTATGCGAAGGAAAACTCAAATTACTTTTTGATCCCAGGCTGAATCTGTGAGTTTGGCAGGTAAAATAAACATCTTTTATAACTAACAGATACTAAAGACTGTCATTAGGAGGTGGGAAACATGAGTGCTGGTTCTGTTTACTTTTCTGAGTAGAAATCATATCACTGGATACATCATGAAAATGGATAATTAATTAAACCAGTGCAAATAACTTTCAGTTATTCCCATTGTCTCCAGTATGCCTAGAAAAATAATCAAGGACAAGTACTGGTCTTTAAATTGGGAATGTGGCAACATAGTGCAGGCACAGTAACACTAAGAATTGGCTGAGCTGCTGAGTGGTTTTACAGACATTCAGACTTTCGGCTCATTTCTCCCCAGTCTGAACTTGGGGCAACAGCCTAAAGTCAGTAGGCTCTACATTCCACTGATGGTCTGCCCTCCGATACTAAGCTTTCTACAGTTTTAATGAAATAGTTGTGAACGTCCAAATAGTAAATAGAAAGTAAAAGCAGGGTTAATGCAATTAATAATGGAGAGTTAACACCTGGCTGAAATGAGTTGCTGCTTTCCAAATACTTGAACATACACATGCACAAAAAAAGGGCTCACTGCCAGGGATTTTCTGATTTACTTGTGATTTACTAGTTTCTGATTGCTGATTACTAGTGAAACCCATCTGTCTTCACAAATGACTGCTATGGCCTGCCTCTTTAGCGTCACTAAACACAACAGATAGGGTACTACATCTTTAGGCACAACAATTATCAATAAAGATTAAACCAGTAATTCCATTTGTTTTAATAACTGGATCAATCGTGTTTATGCAAAATCATTTAGCTTGAACTCATTCACAAGCCACCCAGTTTTTTCTTTCTAAGGAATGTTAAACCCAAGCACTGTGAATTAGACCATTAGACCCAAGAAATTACAATAATTACAGTATCCTGGAAAACTATGATTTCTACAGTACAGTATTGATTTCAAAAGTAGTAGGCGATCTCTAAATCTACAACTGATAGCTTCTATGGCAAAATTTAAATAACTGGATAATTTAAAGTCTTAGCTTTGAATCGTAAAGGTTTCTTTCCATCTTTGTCATAGAGAATGTTTTAGTAGTAGGTATTTGTGGAGTGCTCTAAGATTCTGATGCTGCAGATGAATTTTAAGGAAATATATGTCCTCATGGAGTCAGGTTTGGCACCTAAATGAGTCTGTTCTTTACTTTTTCTTTTTCAAAACACTTTCTTTCAAATGATGAAAATTCCCTACTGGGCTGTAGCACTTTCAGGATATGCAAATTTTCATCTTCACTTGATATTAATTAATTGCTTTGAATGCTTAGATGATGTAAAGCCACTTTGATGTTACTTAATTTTATTCTTTTTTTAATTAAACAGGACTATCTTAAACAGGTGCTGGATATTGATCTTCATGCACAGATTCACTTTGGCAGAGTTTTTATGAAACCTGGGTAAGAAATCTTTCTGCTTAGGCAGCCTAGATGGAGGCTACATTGGGCCAAATATCCTAGTGAAGTGCTTCAGTAGATTTCACTTTTCCAAATATACTATAAACCACAAGACAGATATATGTGGGAAAAGCAGCAAAATCAGTGCTCTTCAGATTAGTCATCATCTTTATGGGTGAAATTAACTGGAACAGAGAGATTATTTTTTATCAGTAAGAGATATTTCTCTGATAACTGTTGCAAATCAAGTTTGGGGACTGGTGGGAAACCAGCATGATATAAACATTGCCACAGCCTTCAGTGCAATCACAGAGCTCACACTGACATTACCATGAAATAACCAGGAAATATAAGGACATTAAATGGACAGTTTGCTTAAAGAGTATCTCATTTCACTTCAAAATTTGCATAAATTATATTCCTACAAGCAGTTCCTTGAGAGGTGGAATGATAGCTAATTTACAAAGCTTTGTCTAATTGGCATATTGAGCATAGTAATTTTTAAGTTAGCTGAGTCCTTTATATGTTTAGTTTGCCTCAGAAAACTGTTTCAGCATTGCTTTTCTATGCTGTAGCACTGCTCATCAGTGAGTCTGAAAGCGTGCTCTGCAGAGGGAATGAAAATCACACATATTGAAAACAGAGAGTTCCCTTTTCTCCACAGTGCAAGAGCAGAAAGATGTCTGCACCTCTGCCTCACTCCCTAGGGAAGGCAGTTTGTTTGCAAGCTGGGTCAGAATGGTCCAGCTGCACAAGATCGAGCACAGCTTTGCAGAATGATTCCCTCTAGCCCAGAACTGTTGTCACGGAGCAGAGCTGCAAGTGGGTGTTTGCTGTGAAAACAGACAAATACTTTCACTGTCTCTGCATACAGTCTGATAAAGATCTGCCTGTGGGCTTGGTGCTTGTGCTGCTCCTACCACCACCTCCTTTCCACATAAGGAATGAGTGAGGCTAAAATCTTGTTTCTTCCCATGGTGGATGTAGCCCAGGCATGGAAACTGCTCACTGCTTCTGTCATACTGCTACAACTGATGTAGGGAAGTCCCAGAAGCAGAATCTGCACTCCATCTCTGCTGCTGACTAAAATGGATAAACTTGATTTACAGAATTCAGAGTATTAAATTCTGGTTCTGGCTTACTTGTAAGCAAACATAATTTTTTTCTCCTGGTGAGTCCTCTGTAGACCTGCAGCAAGGAACTTTTAATAACTAGCTGGGAAAATGGGTTTTTTCCCTTAAATGTCCCTTTTCAATTTATGTCACAAGAAAAGTATTTCTTATTGCTACCAAAACATTTGCTCATCAGTTCTTACTGAGAATGTAAGCACTCTCTTTTTCATTAGCTGTAGTGCAATAGGAAATATTGTATCTTGGGTTTTATTAACTGCATCTTAAAAGATTGTAGGTTGTGGTTACTGTATTGGGAAAAAATCCCTTGAGTAAATTCCAAGAGTGAAGTCAGAATTTGTTGTATGCCTGTATTTGATGTGCTTCATGAGTGCAGGGTGGTCCTTGGGATTTACCATCGCACCACTTGGTCTGAAAGTTGCTGAGCTCCTGTAAGGTTATCTTGTCTAGCTGCATTGACAGAAGGAAGTACTGGAAGATTCTATCAATGATGGTGCTGAAGTGTCATACAAGAATTCAGAGTTTCCAGTAGATATGAATTAGCAATTCAATTTTTTGTCCATTGGTTTGTGCACTGGTTATAACAGTTGGAGGTCTGGCATGTAGTTCCCATCATGTTAGAGGCATTTTAAAGCAGGAATGTCAGACACTAACTTGCCCTGGTAAACTAGGATATTGATGGCTCTTAACAGATACAAAACTAGGTGATAATGATCAAAGTGCAGCAGAACTTCAAAGTTGTAAACTGTCACCTGCTGACCAGGTGGTAGTGGTCAGCTCAAGATAAAGCCAAGGGAACCAGCCTAATTACTGCTCCTATGGTATAATTTCTAATGTTTGAAAGGATTATACTAACATAAAATTCTTTTTTCATGGATAAGTCCCTTCTCTTTGCCAGCCACATTCTTGAGCTGTCACATTACTGTCCTGTTTTTGTAAAGGTAATAGCCCTCACAGCAAGTCACCAAAATCACTGAGCAGCTCTGTAAGGCAGAGAGAGCTCTTCATTGATAGACCTGGGTGTCACCTGGCTGCAGCTCTGCCTGTGGTATCTGAATTTGTTCATCTGCAGACTAGCTGCTCAGAAATATTGCTTCCTTGTAGTACTGTTGTAGAGACCTGGAGTAAGAGAATTAGAGTCACCAGTGTTATAAAAAATTAGAAACCCTTATATGAAAAACAAACACAGCTCTGTAATTGCATAATTCCAGTATTACTTCATTGTTAATTGGCTTCTAGCATGAAGACAAGATTTTGGTTTTTGATTACTAGTTCATTTCCTTTTAGATATTTCCTCTCCAAATTAAAACTTCAGAGTTGAATATCAAGAAAAGTTATTCTGTCACCATGAAGAGAGGATTATACCTCCAGTATGGAATAACCAGCAGGCTCTGATGAACTGCTGAGAGAGAGATGTCCTGTTCTGCTTCATTTTCTTTTGCAAATGTTTTAAATAATACAATAATGTTCAGACAAATTCTAATGCAGATATTAAATAACATTATTTTTCCATAGCCTGCCAACAACTTTTGCAACTCTGGATATTGACGGTGTAAGAAAAATAATCTTTGCGCTTCCAGGTAAGATTTGTGGATTACTTTTGTTGCTGTGCATAGATGACAGACATGAAACAGAATAGACACTTCACAGCACCTGTGCCTGGTGTTTGCCCCTAAGGAAGGTACCTGTAAGATTTTCTCAGAAATTTCCAGAAGATATGGACTTACAGGGATGTGCTAAGGAGTTCTTTTTTGTCCTTGTCCTCAGAATTTTCTGGTACAGGTCTTAGGATTTTTTTCCATCCAACAATTTCCTTACATTTTTCACAAGGGTGTTTTTTCCTACAGCTCCCTGCACCTTCACCATAAATATCCTGTGGGTGTAAGTCAGTGCATCCACTCTAACATACTGAAAATGGAGACAAAAATGAGGGAATGCCAAGGAACATGTCACGGAATATTTTTGTTTATCATGCTCATGCTGTAGAACCAAAAGAGGGCAGCATGGCTGCACTGCTGCTGGCTGTGTGCCCTGGGAAAGCACTTGTTTAGAATAAAGATTTCCTTATGGATTTCTGTCCTTCTCAATGAGGAGGAATTTATTTTATTCTTATTGCTCTGGCTTTCCATGAATTTTGACTACACAAGCAATCCTTGATTGCTTGATAAGCTGGTGGTTTTCAGATGTATCTCTAGTGCTTCTACCCCTCTTGCTCTAGTTGCTGCAGTACATTTTCTTACAGGGGAGAGATCAGTGGAGCATCCATCTGATCACAGTATTTATTTTTCAATTGTTGTCTAGGGAAGTCCAGATATGTAAGACAGTGGTGTTTCACACGTGGTCATACACCTCTTTTGTGACTCAACAGAAAACATATAAATCAGTAGAATTCTCCTTAGAATTTGTCCTAAAGCATTTTGCTACTCTGTTAGGGAATTGAAAGTTATTCTTCCCTTGATGTCTGGGAACCATTAGTCATGAATAAAGAGCCCTGTGAGGGTAGAGCCAACAACTATGCAAAATTAACTCTGCTCCAGCCCCAGACAAATGTACGTATAGGACAAAGGTAGCAGAAGAACAGAGGCAAATGGTGGGGCCTGAGGAATATGGGGCAGTTCTGGTCAGAGCAGGACTTCAGCACACATCATCCCGAGTGTAGCTTGACAGGTGGACTTGAACATTCCCCTTGCCACACACCTCTGCAGTCTGTACTGTATGCAGTACATAGCATGGAAAGCTCTGTAGAGTCCTTTAAAATAGAATTGCTATAAAACATGAGTTCACTTTCAGCATTTCAGAGTAAACCAAGAGAGCATCACCACCGACTGTTCTTTGTCCTACAGGCAATCCTGTGTCAGCTGTTGTCACCTGCAATCTCTTTGTTGTTCCTGCACTGAGGAAAATGCAGGGTATCCTGGATCCTCGGCCCACCATCATCAAAGCCAGGGTAAGAAGCTTATCCTCTAGTTAAAAATTCTCTCAAGATGTTGAAGCAGATCTCTCTGGGCTCTGAAAGGCTGTTGTGTTTGTGGAGTCTGAGCCCTAGACTAGTTCTGGCAGTGGAAGGATATTCACACAAATAGAGGCACATTCTCAGTCTCTGTTAATGGTAATATTCAGTCCTGTAATTTTTTAGAGTAAGATTGCCATCTAATGGAGCAGGATATATAGATGCAGAGGCAGCCATTTGCCAATCAGACAGGAAGGACAATCTCCTGTTTAAAAAATACATTTGTTTTAGGCTATGGTAAAAAATGCAGAGTAATCTGTGAATATCTAGAGCTGGATTGTTCTGTATTAGCAATAGAAAAGAAAAACTTTAAAGGCTTCTTGTTCACATGATCCCCATCCTAAGCAATATAAATTCCTTAAACTCTTCTCACTTTTCTAATAAATCATGGATAATGTAACTCTATTTAACATAGATTTAAGGCACGTCATTATAATGTCTTCTTCTTCTGTTTTTGATCCAAATAAAGTACCAAGGCATACATCAACTTTTGTAGTTTTCTTAGTGTTCTTGGCTATGCTCTTGTCTTACAGCTTATCCCATGTCTCTCTTTTGCCCTTCCTCAAGCATCCAGATTTTATCTTACAGCTAAAATATTCTAAAAGAGAGAGCAATTTGCAGTGACCTTCACTTTTGCATGTATTTTCCACTATGAGCCATCGCTTGTATGTCTTTTCATTTCAAAGATTGGCCATTTTCCTTTTGTCAGAGCTAGCAGGATTTTGAATGCAAATACCATTTTTATCTTTATACAATGTAATCCAAAGAGACCAGGCTTTTTTTTTTTTTCTAGAGAAGTACTATCTGTAAACTCTCAGTAAAGGAATAGTTTTGGAATATTCCACTTAATGCACGTAGACTCCTTCAGACACTTTGATATTGTAATTTCACAGTTGTATTTCCTTAAATACTGCAGTCTCTGAAATACTGCAGTCTCTGCCTTCTACAGCTTTTAATCTTGCACTAGACACCATCTGACCTCAAAATGCGAGTTTTTGAAAAGACTGTTTTTAAGGAAAAATGACTTCCATATTATTCCATTATCTTAGACAGTGCAATGTGAAAGCATGGCATGTTCATCCTTTCTTTTTTAATCCTACAGTTATCATGTGATGTAAAATTGGACCCCCGCCCAGAATATCATCGGTGCATTCTGACTTGGCATCACCAAGAACCACTACCTTGGGCACAGAGTACAGGTCAGTGGCAGTCACAGAGACTGACTGACACTCACACACAGCCTTGCCTTCCTGAAGATGTGTCTGTGAACAACCAAGAGCATGCACGTTTTTCTCACAGAACCTACTTTATGCAGACTGATTTGCTCACACATTTGTGCACATGCATACACATACATTAGTACAAAATGCAGTGCTAATATGGCTTGTCAGTTTAACCATTAAAACATCCTTTATTTGAATAACCTGCCTTATACACACACACTACATGTGTATGCTTGCATATGTGCATACATTCCTTTTTTAAAATATCCATTAAGCTTACTTGCAGTCAGGCACATTTGCTTCCTTCTGCTGTTGTGCATGTACTAAACAAACACAAGTTGGGGCAGAGGTAGGAGCAATACAAATAAAAGAAGTGTGATTTTAGCTGAACTGGAAAAGCAGGAAAGATAGCAGAGGCTCTAGATGTTCTCTTAAAGCAGACTACGGACTTCTTAGTCATGTTTGCCACCTAGGAATACTTCTGAATACTCAGCTGCAGTTGCGGTAAATACTAGATGTGAATACTGGTTCAGCTATGTACTGCTAGAACGCTGACTGTGACACTTTTACAAGAGATTTAGGTCCTTAAACAACTCTCTTTTTGCTACATCCAAATTGTTCAACAAAAAGCACTATATATGAGTCTCCACAGGGAAATATTAGTTCAGTTCTGGGCCCCTCATTACAAGAAAGTCATTGAGATGCTGGAGAATTTCCAGAGAGGGGCAGTGAACTGGTGAAGGGTTTGGAGAGCAAGTTCTATGAGGAGTGGCTGAGGGGGCTGGGGGTGTTTAGCCTGGAGAAAGGAGAATCACGGGAGATCTTACCACCCTCTACAACCACCTGAAAGGAAGTTGTAGCCAAGTGGGGGTGGCAACAAGTGACAAGACAAGAGGAAATGCTCTCAAGCTGCACTAGTGGAGGCTGAGGTTGGACATCTGGAAGAATTTCCTCTTGAAAGGGCTGTTGGACATTGGAAGAGGCTGCCAAGGGAAGTGGTGGAGTCACCATCCCTGGAAAAGTTCAAGAAACAACTGGACATGGCACTTAGTGCTATGGTTTAGTTGAAATGGTGCTGTTCTGTCAGAGATGGGACTTAATGATCATGGAGGTTTTTTCCAACCTAAATTATTCTATTCAGAGAGAATAGAGTTAATCAAACTTATTCTAGAAGAGGATATTAAAGACATTCTAGACTGTGCTGGGTTTAGTGTTTGTATAACTGGAATAGATGTACAAATTGAAAAATAAAGTAATTTTGATAGGATTACCAATTTACTAGGACAATATACATGGTACAGATAATGTGGAAGGCTGGATAGGAAAGCAATCAGCAACGAGACTGATGGTTTTGAGAACCAGTGCAGTGAGAGGCTGACTAAATCTCCACAGAGTTCTTTCTCTGTTTCCATCCACCTTGGAACAGCAAGATCCCAGCTCCATGAATAAGTTAGCCACATAAACATTTTCATCATAACAGCTTTTATTTGTTGCACCATGTTGCAGCATTTGGAACTAACTGAAGACTCCACTGAAATTGTTCTGCCTCTCTCCTGTAGGGAATCAGATGAGCAGTCGTCTGATGAGTATGCGCAGTGCCAATGGACTGTTGATGCTACCTCCAAAGACAGAGCAGTATGTGGAGCTTCACAAGGGGGAGGTGGTGGATGTCATGGTCATTGGAAGGCTATGATGTCACCAGCAAGAGCGAAGCTTTGATGCATGTCCACATATCACTGACTGTATCCTGTAATATGCAACGGCACAGCTAGTTTTTCCGATTTGGATAAAAGTTGATCAGTATAGTCAACATCTTGAAATATATTTCAAATGGAATTTAAATAAATACCTTTTAAAAAAAAACTTTAAAACAAATCTTAACAAAGAAATTTATTCTGATTATATCAAAGCAACTTTTTCCTTTTCTTGCAATTGCTTTGTGTGTTCAATGCTAGTTCTAATAGCGGTAGCTTTTAGTAGACAGCAGTAGGTGCCTGCAGAACTTGTGTTTTTTCTCATCTTTAAGATACAACTACTTACGCTCTTAAAACAAGGCTGTCTGCTTATTTATACTAGCGTAGACAACACTTGGATTTCCCTTATTAGTATGCTTCATAACCGCTTCACAGAGAGCTTCTGCTTGTTCTTTATCTTGTATCTCGTGTTGATGTGCACAGTGCCAAAAGCAGAGTGGCTGCACTGGGAACCCAATGAAGCCCCGAGGTTTCCTCACCTCGCCGCGCATTCAGGGATGTCTCTTGTCCCGGCAGCCACCCAGCTCAGTACTCTTGGGCAGTAACTGGATACCTTTTATTTCAACAAACAAAAAAATTGCTTCCTTAAGTGCTGACAGCCTTTTTAACCAATACATTTAAAAATGTACAGAACTAAAAACTAAAAAAAATCAAAGACTGATCTTGTACAGATATTAGTGTTACCAGCATTCGTGTGGAAATTAAATGAGCAAAGAAATAAAACTAATGTTAAACAACTCTGTACCATAACATTTTCTGTAATGATATTGAAACTTAAATGAATAAAAAAAATCCTCAATCATTATTTAAAATTTCACCTGTTCAGCCTTGTTGTTTGAAACAAAAAAGCGGTGATTTAAGAGGGTATTTGGGGTGGGGGAAGAGTGTAGGGAGGAAGATAAATAGTATGTCCAGTCTAGGGCCTTCCCTCATACACAGTGTCATGAATGAACTGAAACTACAGTGAGCTCTCTCACACCTCCCATGGGACAAAACAGAAGCAGCACTTGGAGGTGGGGTGTGGTTACAATCAGACTAATCAAAGCTGGAGAATACTTCTGCACAGCATTTGCAAACAGCTCTTGTGCTGCACTGTCTGGAATTTGATAGAGTGTTCTTTTTAATTTTTTTTCCCGATGAGATAAGGACTTTTCAGCTCCCACCAGATTGTGTATTTTGGCAGCTTCACATTTCATCTGGGATTAAGACCATAGCAGTGCCCTACAACACCTTGTTTCTTGGACTTCATGGGTAAAATGCTATCCCACCAACTCCATTTGTGAAGCCAGAGCATTTATCTATAGTATTTTTTGAAGACTTAGTCAGGGAGAACACAGAAAATTTAAATCCTGACTGCCACAGTGGACCAGAGCTGTAGTTCTACGATAACTGCAGAGGGCATCCCTCTAGGCTGGTTTTAAAACCAAACTCTGATCGCTGTGAAACTCCCTGTGTGTGGGCCATTGCAAAGTTTGAAGGCAGGTAGGCATACACTGTGTTTGGAGGCAATCCAGGGATTGATTGTTAAGAGAAACAGTAACAGAACTTGCTGATAATAGGTTTTTTGTTCTGGACTACATGTCCACATTTATGCTCTCTCTATGTAGCAGCAGGGTGGTACCAAATTAAATTCATGGATGCCTGTTTTTACTGTACTAATATTTTAAACCACAGAAGGAAGAGAGAGGCATGTTAACTCATCTCTGAGAAAGAATGCGGAACATTGTGTGTTATAAGCCACAGGATTATTAATGTAATGTATAAGGGTTATTATAGGCAGCATGTGTAATGAAAATAAGAAGTTTATAAAGGACACCAATTACATAAAGACTCACTGGCAATCAAGTTCAATAGTTGTTTTAAAGGCAGAGTCTACTCCTTGAATACATGCATTAGATACATTTGGATAAAGAACTTTGACATTTTCACACTCTCCCAACTCAATTTCCTCAGAGGAAATACAAATGAGGAGTCAGAGTCCAAATCAGGCTACATTATCAAGCAAAAGTTGTGGCTGACAATTAATGATTCTTATACTCTTACCTGGCAGGAAACTAAGAATAACAAGATAGTAGATGTTGAAATGCTCAAGCACAAAATTTGCCAAAACCTTTATTTTGCCTTAGCTGGCAAATTGAAGTTAGTTTTTAAGTATCAGGGGGAAAAAATAATGAAAATTGTCTGTCATTTTTGCTGGCATTTTCCAAACGTTTCTGATAGACTTTTATCCCAAATAAATTCAGGAATATGTTCCCAACCTAATATTTCCTTTGTGTATTTTAAACATTTCCCAAAATTCCAGGTAAAAAACTCTTTGCCTGAATGCTTTATATCTACAGTAGCCTCCTTTTTGATTCTAAAGCCAGCTGGTGTTACTCCCATGTAAAAGGTGAAACCTAAGGACTACAGGTTAGACGTGGAAGAGCATTTCTGCATGTACTAAATAAAAGCAGAGACTCTCCTAGGAGAGAAGGACAATCAAACTCACAACTCTTGATGACAAAGGGTTTGCATGGGCAGAACAGCTGTAGCAGCTAGTGGTCATTAAAGTAGCAATCTGCAGAACAAGGTATAGCTTCCCATACCTGTATTTGGTCCGTAAGTTGCAATTAAGTGCCTTATCCTCATGACGAAGAACATGATCTCTAGCAACTATAACCCTTCTCCTTCCTAGTGCCAGCTGGTCTCAAGAGACAAAGCAGAGCAGTTTCAGCATGATACTATCAGCAGCTGGATTTCCATATTTACTCCAAGTGAAAAAAGCCACACTGGTGTTTCTTCGGTGTTTTCTTATGGGGTTTTTATGTTTGGTTGTTTGTTTTCTTTCAGACTTGACTGTTGTTTCTAGTAAATCTGTCCTAGCCTCCACTCAGAGAGATGAGTGTCATGCTGGATTTAAAGTCAGCATTGAAATGCAGGCAAATCTTGGGTAATTTGTGGGGAGGAAAAGCCTGCACATTTTGCAAATGTTACAACCTCATGAGCTGCTGCTAGCTGCATGTTTTCTGGAAGGGCTCAGTGACTCATATTCAGCATTCAATTAAGACTTGCTCTTTGCAGTTATGCAACATCGCACACAAGCTGAAAAAGTTCTTGGAATATAAAGCCTTCAAAAGGTGATGCACAGAGGTTCAGTAGCTCTCTAGTTTTAGATTGATCTGTCTCAGAAGATTTGCTCAAGTCCAGGACCATGCAGCAATACCAAGCATGCTCTGTCCCCATGCAAGGACTTCTGCATTTCCATGGACCCAATTTGTGTTTAAAAATGCAAGCAGCCAAGTAATTTTTGCAGAGTTAATTCACAAGCAAAACCAAAACCTTATTGTACTCTACTATGCAGATTATCTGAGCATACGAAAGAAGACAAAGGTATTACCCTGACCTTGATAACCAGGGACTGAAAAATAGAATTTCTGCAAGAAAAGTGTAAGATAAAATCAAAGGTAAGTGTATATATAAATATATATATATACACACATATATATTAGCACACAAAAAACTGCCCCACTGGACTGACAAGGAAGAATGCAAAGTGGTTTTTGTCAGTACCTATCATGCAGATATTACTGTGGCCCAAGACAATATAACACATCAATGTGTCTGACAAGAGCCTTTCCTATTTAGGTCTGTGTGTTATGGCAAAGTAACCAATAACTTAGTCATTTTGAAATGTGCTGACTGGACCACTAAGGGGGACCCAATTTTGTGACCATGTACAGACCAGACCTTGAGCCAGGAAGCCAACATGGACATTTTCAAACACACCTCCCTATGCTGGCAATGACTGATACTAGCAGGAGAAGCTTCTGTGGGACTACTTAGGAAACTGCTGAGAAAGAAACAACATAACACTAGAATCATCCTTGCATGGTGTGGCCTGTGCACTTCTAGATTTTTTTTTTTTTTTCCCAATTGGCCTTCTGCAAAACGCTGGCCAATAGTTTACCCCTCCGGAGAAGTGTAAATGCATGGCAAGGAGATAATTATCCAGCTTCCAAATACTACCCCCACCCAATGTTTGTGGCAAAAACTCCCCCATTTTCACAGTGTAAAGCAGCATCTCCTCTGTTTTATTCTGAATCTGCCATCTCCTACTTCTGTTTGATGCCTCTTAGTTTTTTTGTTGGAGCAGACAAAGAGAAGTCACCCTCACTTTGCCACCCATAATTTTATGGATGGCTATCTTCTGAATTGAATGTCCTAATCTATGCAGTCTGCCCTTTGTGGTCACAGACCATATGCAAGTGTCTGTAAATTGGATGATCTCTATCACAGATTCATGGAACCATCAAGGTTGGAGTGGACCTTCAAAATCATCAAGTCCAACCACCAACCACGGTCATCCCAAAACCACATCACCCATCCCTGTTGCTCCTCTTTCACCCTCTTCAAGTCTGTCAGAAACAAGGAGATCAGAACTGCATTCATATTAAAAGACACCACTATCTCATACTAATCACATCATGATGACTTCTGTTTGTTATCTATTTCCTAATATTTTTGTTCTTCAGTACTTCTGACTGATATGTTTTTATGGATCTTAAAAATCTTTATTGGTAATATTCTTATTTTCTTAAAAGAGATGACCTTAAATTCTCATGCTTTATTGGTAGTATCCAACCTGGGAACAGTAATTATAATTCCAGTTTAAGAAAATAATTTCCTCATATGAGTAACTTTACTTTTATCTGTGTTAAATTTCCTTAGCTGTTTTAACTCACTTCCACTCAATTTTGAGCATTCCGTGTGCAGTTCTTGCTCCTGGTAAGTGGGCATCTTCCTGGAATTTAGCTGCCTTCAGTTCATCTGATAATGGGAGACTGCAGTGATCCTACCTCCACTGAGGATCTGTTCTATGTTTTGTGGAAAGACCTGCTTTGGTGGTTTGACAACTATGCTGTAATATTGATACTTTACCTTATTATGCCTGATCTTTTCTTGTGGTTTCTTGCCAGCTAGATTTCTTGCTGTTGCTGAGCCTCTTCAGCTATGTTCATTTCAGGATGCTGTTGCACTGCTTTGGAGAACTGCCAGAAGACCAAGACCATCCTCATGTATTCATGGAGATACTGCAGAGAAAAAAAAGAATTGGGCTCAATATTTTCCTATAGCTTTCTTGTATTTGGATGAAGCTGCTGGAACAGGCTTGTTCATGGTCAAGGCTGGTGATCAGTCTCCAGTCTGCAGAGCTTTGTGGCTCGGGACATGGGCTGCACCCAAGAGAATGAGCTCGGGCAATTGTGTAGGCGAGTGAACTGGAGCCAGTGCTGATGACAGCAGGTTGGTTGTGGTGTACTGTGCTGCCTGCCAGGACTTTTGTGTCAGAGCTAGGTAGCTATTCATCACTACAGATATTGAATCATGAAAATAAAAATGGCCTGAGAGCTATTTACCTGCCAGTCTTAGGAGGGGAGAGGCACACATGCAGATGCAATGGTATTTGAGCCCATCTAATTAAAAGATAGCTGACACTGTACATCCATGGCTGACTTTCTGTAATTTACTCCCTAATGGCCGAATCAAATCAATTTGCCCAAAGTGCTATGAAAAGCCAGAGAACAGAGCAGAAGATAGGATTTAATGTGATCTTGGCAGTCTGCATTACAAAGGAGAAATGCTGCAGCTTTCTCCATTAACTGGATTTTTTCTAAGAGGTGATGACTAGGGTTAGATTAAAACAAAAACTAAAAACCAAACCAAAACAAAAATAGACCACGCACAAAAGCAAACAAAGAAAAGCTAAAATGAAAAACAAACAAACAAAAACCCCCTACCAAAACAACAACAAAAAAAAAGCCAAGTTAACAGTCCTTTGTTAAGGACTGGGATAAAAAGCAGACACACTACTGATCACAAAGGGGATGGTGGGTGGGCAAACCCAAATAACACCTGGGCCAAACTTCTCCCAGGCCCATCACTAGCAGACACAGCGGAGGACACAGGTAGGGGGCAGTCAGATGCCCATTATGTATGACATTCAGAGACTTCTTAGCAAAGGAGAGTATGTTCTTTTTATTTCTACTTCCATCTTCAAGAGCAAGTTTGTCCAGGTAAAAAGTCCTTGAGATTAAAGCATTTAGCATGCTAAAGATAAAATTACTTGCAATTATTACCATTTTTCTTTTTCTCTGTCAGCTCAACAGGTACTCCTCATTCAGTTATTCTCACTATCGCTTTTCTGTATTTACTACACATATATGGATATATTTCCCTTCTCCTATAGACTCACTCTTTAAAGGCACACATTTTAAAAGCAATAGTTCAGAAACCCAGCAATAGCAATGCTATTAGAGATGCACATTAGAGAAGGACATAGATTTGTTTTCATTTTCCTTTGTGAGGCCCTATTCCTTCCTGTAGCAGCAGCTAGAACTGTTGCAGATGAAAAAAATACGGTTCTGGTTCTGTGCTGCCTCATTAAGGTTGTTAGCCACCAATGGCAGTTCAACCTAGTCAAAATCAAAGCCAGCCCTTCCTGGGCAATCTCCCACCACTTACAGATTCTCCTACCCTTGCAGGATAACTATCCTCCCTGCCTGTCATCCAGCACTGGCGAAAGCCCTGCAGGACTCTGGCAACAGCCTACGCTCCTACAATTCTGCATTCACAGTGTGTCTAAAATATGTGTATTCTAGTTATGTTCTGTACCTCAGCAGTGTTTTTCACAGGATTTCACTCCCTCCCTTTGTGATAATTATGACATCCTTTGGTCTTATCTTGATTAATTAAATCTTGCATTGTTGATACACCTGCAGAATGTTAATGAGCTATGAGTCTCCTTTTTCAGGATACTTTATGATTTATTCCTGCTTTATTTATCAGACCTCATTTACTACAAAGAAGGCAGCTGCCCTAACCAATCAACCCAAGAAAATAGCTCCATTACTTATTCAATTACACTAAAATAAAATTTAAAAGTAGCCTTTGATCTTTTTTACATACTGTGTCTCATATTTGGGAGGAGATTCTGCTAGACATACAGAAATTTAATGCATTCCCCCAAATTCCGTCTTAGGACACTTTATGTCTGATGCCTGTCAAAACCAAGCTCTGACAATGGTACATAACATGTGGTTTCATTATCAACTTAATAATATGGTTATACTTATCAACTTATTCTTCTTGTATTTTCTCATTTTTCTCTAATTTCGTGTCTCACACCTAAATTACCTGGGATATTTTTCCAGTCTGTTTTAGTACAGCACTTAGCAGGATCCTGGTTCAAAACCATTAACATCACAGTAATTCTAGAAAGACAGTGAATCATCATAACAGTGTCTCTTCCATCATGTTTATACTAGGAGAAATTATGTATAATAGTACACAAGAGGTTTCTGACCACAGCAATAAGATATCCAATGTTTTGAATTACACATGAAGGGTGATTTGCAATCATCCTTTATCCTTATTCAGCTTCTTTCCCTTCTTTTCATTTATGCATACTCCTGTTTCATTATTCCACGTTCTCCTCTCTCCTCACCAAGCCAGCAGATAAGCTCTAGGGTCACCAAGCCAAACCACTATTGGTAGTGTAGTCTCTGATAGGGAAATGTCAGCACTGATGGAGCTTTTATTTTTTTGTTCAGGTTAATCAAAAACAGAACACATTTGTCCACAACTGACCCAACTGTGTGATCACTGATCCCTGTGCTGTCAATCCCTGTTCACCAATGCCTAATGTGATGCTGACAGCACACCCATGTTCCCAGAGGTAAATATGAAAACCTACTGGAAACTCTCACAGTGCCATCCCACATGAAATATGTGGAACTTCCCAGGTGAGTTAGCACCAAGAAGCATTAAATATTTCTTTGAAGATTAAATAAGAAATATTAATCTATTTTCCATTTCCATACACTGTTTTTCTTCTTTTAAGGGTGACTTTATTAACAGACCTTGTGACCCTGAGACAAAAGCCAGCTCCTCTGGGCCTCTACAGAGCTCACATTTACACTGGCTCTTTGTCTCAGTACGAACACTATAAAGTTAGGAGAAACAAATTTAAAACACACCTTTTGGCCCCAACTCCAATAATCATTTCAGGCCAATGCTACCCACATTCATATAGATAGAAAATCACTACTAATACTTAATAAACCTTTCTCTAAATATATCAGAAGCTGAAAGCTGGTACCAAGATTGGGATATAGGACTCTCAGGAAATAAGACAGTAGAATAAAGGCATTGTAGAGACAAGAATGCAAAGAATGTGAGAAAATAAGTAAGGGGGTTATAGAATTTCTTAGCTGATATTTTCCTGCTTCAACAATACCTACAGAGCCACCATTCTTCTGTTGTCAAAGACTAGATCCTTTACCAACTTCTGGACATAAGCTGACATGACATGAATGTCAGCTCCTGTGTGTACAGCCTTTGTCACTAGTGATTCAATATAATAAAGTCAAGATCCAGAACTAGAATCTCCATTTTTCTTTACAGAATAAATGTCTTATTTTTTCCAGTCATACTTCCAGTAGAGCTTCAATAGCTTGAAGTGTTGGCTGTTGCTCACTATTGACTTCTCTGCTCCAGTGATCTTCCTTCACACACCTCTCCATTTTGCTAAGTCATGAAAGTATGCATGAGCTCTTGTTCAATCAACCCTCTTTTTTGTCCACATGCTGTTACTGTGTGGTCTTCTTTATTGCTGGGGTTAAGTTTGGATTTTCTTTTGTATTATTACATCCTCCCTGTTCTCTTCCTGTTTAGACATGTAGAAATCTTTCTGCACATGGGAGACTTACAGGTATCCCTACCTCAGCTACTTGAAAGAAGACAGAAAGATTTTAGTAGGGACCAGTGTCAAAATCTGGTGGGCAGAGAGCAAAGACCTTATCTCAGTTTCCAAACAGGAGCAAAAACAGAAGAGCAAAAGCACAGAAAACATGAAAACTAGGTATATATGTCTGGAAAATGAATCTAATATATTTAGTTTCTGCTGCTGACTTTGAAAAGTAGTTTGTGGCATATTTTTGTCTTCAGAAAATATGCTATTGCAAAACATTTACAGGTTCACTGTAGAATACAAGTTGTAGTTTCCAGACTCTGGTTTCTCAGATAGATGTTCAGGGATTTTGAAAGGCCATTTCAGCAATAACCCTTTGGGTTCACAAACATGGGCAATCAAGCAAAAGTACATGAATATTCAGTGACTGAAGTGCCAGGGGTCTCCTTGAATGCTGAAGGTTCTGCATACAGATAGCTTTGATTTAGACTCCCAGAATGTGAAGAAATCATATAGTGTGAGGCTCACTCAATGTTTCCTTTCTGCCCAAAATCAGCAGTATGTCCTGGCACCAGAAATCTGTCTTTTCTGAATCTCCTGCACTGCCATATGCACTCTGGCTTGCGCAGAAAAGGAGCAGATTTTTTGTCGGCGGTGTTGCACAAACCAGGCAAGCAAAAGTTAGATGGCAGAAGGAAATTAAAGCTGTCTCTTATACAAGCACCACAGCAAAGAACAAGGCTTCACCACAATCACTTCTCAATCAAGTGATGTGCTCAGATGTGTGCCATGTTCAGATGTGTCATATATAAGTGCAGTCCATAACATTCAAATATCTCAAGTGTGCCTGCAACTGAAAACAAGGCTTACTACATAATTTACCAATACATGTTTCTACTGCAGACAGAAAAGAGATTAAAATAGCACCTATTTCATAGTGATCCTGGTAGATAATGACATTACTAGGGTAAGGCCTATTCCTGAGTTTGTTAGCAATGGCATAATCCTTTTTCCTGCTTTTATTAGGTCAAATACAATGAAGCAAAAAGTGGGGAAAATATTAGACTTCAGGTATGACAGTTTTTCTGATATTTATTCACTTCCCTATTGCTATTCCTAATTTAATAATAGATAAGAGAAGCTGAAACTTCATGGGTTGCGAGTTCTTTACAAGAAATTTTCCTGTGTACTACTTGCCAATAAATCAGCATTTGTTTGGCCATATTATTAGAAGATACCCTGTGTTCATTCCCTACTGTGATTACATCTCACCTTCCAGGGTTCAGTGGCAGGTTTGTTCTAGAAAGGCCTTGCTGTTTGACTTGTTTGGTGGATGGCAGCCAT